CACATATCTCCAAATTTCTTGAAATGGAGGCACATCCTGAAGTACAAAGATTAATGTTCCTACCAAATAATTAAAATTTTATATAGTTTTTTAATTGCTCACATCTTCAATTGCAGTGGGAGTTCATTGAAAACTTGTCCATAATTTCATTATGCACGGTATGCCTTTTAATTAACTAAATTGTTAGTAGAATACAGATGAGTCTCCAATCTGTTATTTCTGTACTGCTAAACTCTGCTACCTATGATTTCTATCCTTTCTAATATAAAATCACAATTCTTTCAGTCTGTCTGAATATATTTTAACATTACATATAGGAAAATGTTAATCTGCAAAGCATAATAAAACATGTAATAAAAATTAAATTGTTCCTTTTTTTTTCCCTCTAGCTTCATGCTATGTAAAGGCTCAACTGGAAAACAGTTAATTAAGAAAGTAGATTGTTACTTTTCATTTAACATGGCTATACTGGTGTATTATTGTACAAAATATTGTTACAAAGGTAGTTAGTTAATAGGTACCTAAATAATGTTAATGGATAACTTATTTTGGAAATACAGTCATTAACCAAGTTACTCCTAATAGTCTCATGACTATGAAAGCTGTTAAATACACTTGCTTGGATTATCAGAAAGCTCAGCTGGGGAAACTGATCCACAAACCTTTCTGCTTTTACCTTGATCTGCCTGCACTCCCAGGCTTGCAGTGATTACGCTTCTGCAACTGTGTTGTCATCAATCTTGCGACCACATCACAATTTGTTTGATCCCTCAGTTTTGGAGCCACTGCAATCTTTTTAATGAGGGAAAAGTCTACTTGTTTTATAGTATGTGTGTGTGTTGTGGGCATTGTAATTCAGTGTTTCAAACATTTGGTTGGTTTCTTTTGTTTGTGTTTCCCTCTTTATTAATAGTATGTTAAGCAGTACTGCTGCTTAAGGTCACTACTGCTCTTTCTGGAACCCACACCACTGTTTATGAGAAAATTTGTCTTATTCAGCGATAATCTTAAAATGATATGAAGAATGAGGGAATTTTTTAGAGACTGATGAAACTTCCTTCAGCAATTGTCACCTGAGTTAAAGGAGTTTGGGCATCTTCATAAAGAGCACATTTCTTATGAAGAAAGGCTGAGGGGGCTGCGCTTGTTCAACCTGAAGAAGAGAAGGCAGCAGGGAGCCTCGTTGTAGCCTTTCTGTACTTAAAGGGAGCTTATAAGCAGGAGGGAGACTGACATTTTACATGAGCAGATAGTGAGTGATACAACAAGGGGGGAAAATTTATTTTGGATGTTAGGACGAAGTTTCTTACTTTGAGTGTTGTGGAGTGGTGGAAGAGGTTTGCCAGAGAAGCTGTGGTGCCCCATCCCTGAAGGCACTCAAGGCCAGGTTGGATGGGCCTGGGCAGCTGAGCTAGCAGCCCTGCTGATGCCAAGGCATTGGGGATGGCTGGGCTTTGAGGTCGCTTCCAACCCAAGCCATTCTGTGATTCTGTGAAGTGGAGTAATGCTGCTGGCTGAGCCTTTGGAATTTAAATCAGGATGGATCTTGAATACATAAAAGCAGTTTTTCCCCAAAGACGTGTTACATATTTTTAATTGACACAAAAGGTGGAAGAACACGTTATTAGTTTCCCTAATAGCAGTGTAAGAAGAATCACTTGCATCAGTGACCAAACGAACAAGAATTCATATTCTGGGAACTGCAGGTGGTTGTGTTGTGAGACTGGTGAAAGACAAAATGAAGATCTGCATTCCTGAGAACATCATTTTCAGTAAAACGTCGTGTTTTAGAGCACTTTGTGGAAGCAAGTCCTTGATGCTTTGCTGACAAGTGCCTTACATAAGCTCCCATCTGTCACTAGGCATAGAAGTGCGTGTCCCAAATGGGGGACAAATGTGGGACACAGAGCAGCAGCAAATCAGCTGCCAACTTTTAATAGCACAGGAAGACATTTAAAGAAATTTGGTAATTTTGTTACTAGCATTTATCACACAGTGCAGTTGGAGAAAAAAAAAAGGCCAAATGCTGTAATGGTTTAAAAAAGCCAGAGCTGTTGAAACCCTTGCTGCCTACACATCTAACCCTTATTTCCTGAATGTGTGCCCAGCCTGTAATAGATGAATCAGATCTGTGGTATGGGTCTGAGGTTCTGGGATCATTTAGAAAAACCCTTTTAAGATATTTTTACTTTCTAAAAAGGAAACCCATTTAGGCTTATTGTATTTATTATTCTGTAATGGATTTCCTTAATCCACCCTCCCGTGGGTAAGAACAAATGGACGCAGCAGCTGAGGTTAGTCAAGGGTTTTGGACCAAATGAAGTTTTACAAATGGTCTGTTGTGTTGTAAATGTTTGGTTTCCATAATTTACGACTGCAACGTATTCTGAAACCTACTGATAATGGCAGAGGGTGCTGGAAGGAAATGGTAATATTTCATTTTGTCTAGAAATTTAAACGTAATCGTTTGTCATTGTGGATTTATTCCTTCCTAAGCAGCACCTGACAGATGAAGAAGAATTAGAGAAATTTTCATAAATCCTGACTGTAAGGACAGAGTATTGTTTCTTTTTCTCCTGATTTTCCAAAGCTATCTATATTTTACAGCGATGGAAATTACTTCACAGTTCTCTAATTACTGAATGATGAGCTGCTTTTAGGGGGTCTGAGCTGTTGCGGGTAAGACAGATGTATGCCAGTGACAAAGTGAGTTGTTCTCCCTGCAGGTTTTCCTCCCCAAACAGCTCAGTGTTGGGTGGAGTGGGTGTCTGTGCCCACACTGAGAAGTGCCAGGAGCTCTCAGCTGGATGAGGAGGAGAAGGATTCTAGCCTCAGCAGTAGCCTGTGCTTATGCCAGCTCATTTGTGTTGTACCACTTCTCTTTGGGAGACCTGCTGCATGGATGCTGGGTTTGGCTCTCGTAGCTCCCCAGTGTTTGATAGCCAGCATCACTTACAACTTAGCTTTCTGAAGTAGAAACTCCCCCGTTAGCTATGTTACAGATAAACTAATTAGGTGGTTGCCTTATTTGGAAGATCTTTCAGATGTTTAGGTGTTGAGGTTTGGGTTGTTGGTTTTTTTTCCATTTCTTATTCTTTACTGTGAAGAAAAATATGTTGTAGTCTTTTTAGCTTCATGGAATATTTATGTCAGCCAAAGGCATCAGCCTTTGGGCATAAATCTGCCCAGTTAAGTGTATTGTAGGGAACATCACAGCTGAAGTGGGTAATTGCTGCAGGTCTTGCTAAACAAAGTGAAGGTTAAGCATCTGGAACATGTTAATTTTAAAAAATTAATACGTACCTTCCAGCAGGTACATGGAAAGGAGGAGCAAATCTGACAGCTGTGAGTACATTTGCTGAAGATAATTATTTATTATGATGAAGGAAAAGGAGAAAGCCTTCAAATGATTTTATGGTTTGCAATTTATTAGTAAATGTTAGCCATTCACAAGAAAGCAAATAAATTACAGTTCAAGATACCACCATCCTCAAAATTATTACTTCAGCTTTGGAAATAACACAGAAAAGAAGAAATGCTGGATGGGAAAATATGCATAAATGAGGCTTTTGTGTTACTAGTTCTTACCATTTTTGTTGCTTTTTTTCCCTATGAAAAAGGATTATGGCTTGTAAGTGTTAGACTGAATGCTGTGCACTGCAGCAGAGCCAACACAAGTTTTCATGTGAACAGTCTTTCCCAGCTGGGCATTCTGTGGCAATGCTGCAAGTCATGTCAAAAGATTCCTGGAGTATGTGGTGGTAACTTACTTCTGTAGCATAGGTGATTTATGGGTTTTCTGAGAGTCTTCCTATAAATTATGTATTGTTTTTTATAGCACAGGGGTGGTATTTCTTCTTTGATGTGAAAGCAAGTGTGCTATTCGCTTAAATAAGACAATAAATAATCCATCTGCTGTCTTTCCAAAACCTCCGTGGTGGCTGACTCACTCACATCTCTGTCATCAGCTGTGGCAGATACTTGTTACGTGTACAAGTTAAGCCCTCCTCCAGTGCTTGCATTTCTTCACTGGAAATGAGTACAGCCCAGGAACTACTTGCGGGAAAAAATGTTTTACAAATTATGCTTATTTTTAAGCTTTCTGGAAGCTGAGAGGCTGAATTGAGTCTTGTTTAGGTCCATTAAAAGAAGAACTTGAGTGCTGAACAGCGTGAGGAATGTTTTTAACATACAGATAATGTCTCTATCAGACCTCTGGACTATAGGTTTAGTCTTATATAATAATGAATTTGTTTAATAAAGCAGAAGATTTAACTATCAATTTTAATACATAAGTAACAAGAAAACAGATCAAATTAAACATCGGTAAGGATTTCCTGGAAAATGTTCTGTTAAAGTGGAATGCAATGGAGGATTAGAAATTTGTTTGTAGTGCCGATTCCAGAAAATTTCAATACAGAAGTAAAACAGAAAATAGCATTTTGAGTATGCAGTTATTTGTGAATAGGATCATTCCTCTAAAGTCACTCAAACCACAGATTTAAATCTTTTACTTGCATTTGCCTGTATGCGAGCTTGCCTGTTTGTTCACTGTAACTTTCATTAGTATAAAAGCTTTGTTATTCCCCTTTGCAAACATTTTCCATATTTGCATCATCTTATCTTGTTCGTAAATAGTAATTTTTACTTATAAAACGTCCATTCCCCTGCCTCACTCAAGATTTTAGATTCTGAGTAATAAAACCACGTAATTGTGCTATATGGGCTATTTAATTTCTATGTAAATACAAGTCTGTCACTGTTCTATTTAAAGGATTTCACATAGTTTATTTCTCCTTGTAACTGGTTTCCTGGGAATTCTCATTCTGCACAAATAAGCTGTCTTACATTTGGCAAGTAACAGTACTTTAGTTATGAAGTGTTCCCTTTTCTATTTTGGAGTTTAACAAACTTGCTAGTTTTGAGGGTTTTTTTTCTGTGCATTGCTTTAAAGTATTGCCACAATTTAGTTTATTGGCTAATTTTCTTTTCATTGGCAGAATCTGAAGAAGATTCAAGAAATGGATAAAGAGACAAGTGATGAATCCAGCACAGATCTTGATGAATTAAAGAATGCTGACTGGGTAAGACAATAATTGAATACTGATTCATCATCATCAGTAATTTATAAATCTTCAAAATGCTTAACTAAAATTGTTTATTAAAGTCAATGTTAATTGAAATCCCAATTTCAATCTCCTGTCCACTACCTATTCTTCCTCGTCTCCACCCGTTGCCACTGCTCAAAAATAGGAGGGAAATGCACATGGTAAGCAGAGCAAAAGAAAATTGGGTACAGAGTGTGTTACTTACTAGATCTCAGGATTTGGAGTCTGTTCCACAATTTCTGTGTGAATTGCTGCTAGAAATTTTTTCAGAAATAATGAAGGCCTAAGGGAAACAAAGTTTAGGATTCTATCACTGTTACAGTTCACATCACACTAGTTGTACATCTAGAAACTTTTCTGATGTGCATATGTACTTGAAATGGCAGTTTGGACGCATGTTAGGAGAACTTTGAAATCCTTTTACTATATTCAGTGATGAATATCACTTGAGGTGAGACTGAGGCGCGAAAAAAGTTTTCATAATGGTCATGAGGGTTAAAAATAGGGTTATATAAGATAACAACAAACAGAATGGGGTTTGGTTGATGGGTTAGAGTGATACAGTTGAATATATTTGGTGGTGTCCTGAAAGGGGAATGAGCAACAATCTGGGTTGGTGTGCAAGCATTAAATATAATTTTGCTCTCTTCTCTTCAGGCTCGTTTTTGGGTACAGGTGATGCGGGATTTACGAAACGGTGTCAAACTCAAGAAAGTCCAAGAGCGTCAATACAACCCACTCCCCATAGAATATCAGCTCACACCATATGAAATGCTGATGGATGATATTAGATCCAAACGATATACCTTAAGAAAGGTCATGGTGAGTCACGAGCATTACGAGAATTTGTCAAATCTGAAATGTTACTTGATTTTTTACTTTCTTTTTTCATTTCTTCATTTAGATAGCATTGATCGTGGGTTTTATATGGCATCTTAAATCTGCGTAGTATATTGATGAGAAAAATGTGAAAGTAACAAATGAGTGTTTCGTTTTCCATATGGCAGGCAGTTAAAATTTTGAAAGACGTTCTTATCACATGCTTGAACAAAATATTCCTGTTGGTTTTATGATAACTGTAGTAATCATACCAAGAGAACTGTCACACTAAGATATTGTTTTAGGCTTCTGCTGGGGAGAACATTTTTGTTGAGATGCAACCTAATTTACGCAATATAAATATGGCATTCCAGAATGTAAAGTGCTCTCTTGTTATTACATGAGTGATAGGTACTGTGATGGAAAAGGAAAACATACAGTGTTTTAAAACTTAAATTGCTATGATCTGCTAATAATTTTCAAGGAGTGCATTCTGTAAAACATTTTAACTCTTCAATTTGTAGAAGTACAGCTCAATTATTTTCAGCATATCCTACCTGAAAAAAAACAATGCTTGAGCAAATTGGAGAGGATTGATGAGCCTCCTCCTAGATCCTCAAAAAGGTACATGTAAGATTGACCTGAGGAACTCTTCTCATCAGGACTCATTTGATATCTACTGGCATCTCCCAGTTCTTTTGGTTTCTATTGTGTTCAACATTAAGATGTTCTTCCTGATAATGCAGCAAGTGACTTAAAGCGACTTAAAGCGACTTAAAGTGACTTAGTGACTTATCCTTACTAGGACATTTAAAATCCTTTTGTCAAAGGCATGTATTTGGTCAATATCAATATTCATGCCCTGCACTCACTATCTATGCCTGTTATTAGTTAGAGAGGAAGCATATTGTTAGAATATCCAATATTCATCTATATTTGCATTCCTGAAAAAAAGGTGACAAAACTTTTGCTAGTGAGAAAGCCATGTTTCCAGAAGAAAAATTCAGAGATGAAAGAAGCAGCAAGCATGTAGTTCTGTTAAAGATCACTAGAGAAAATAACAAAGAAGGAAAAAGTTGGAACTATGACATGGAGAATAAATAAATGAATCCTGTTACAGTGTAAGTGCCTTTTGTTGTATGAGGTGAAAGTATTTTCCTAATCAAGGTCTGAATTTAGGCAATCAAGTTTTTGTCTGCAGCAGTTTTTCTGGAGCAATTTTCTTTTAAGTCATTAGGTTAAAATACACACCCAGGAATGATGTCCATCTATCTTTACGCTAACAATTTAGAAAGTAAATCTGCTCGCACTGCCCACTGCAAAAGAACAGTTCCCTCAGCTCCTTAATTACTGTATGCAATCAGGATAGTAGCTGTGTTTGAATGGGAACCCCTGGGTCATCTATTCTTGCTTTTGGCATGCTGGGCTTTAATTCATCTGTTCAGCAGGATCCTGCCTCTTCTGAGGAGATTTTCTTCATTATCTAGTAGGTCTTGGAGGCACAGCTGCTCCCCTGTTTATCCAGGCTCTCACTGTAGATGAAATCCTTGCAAGCATCTATTTTTGTCCTTCTGTCTTGCCTTCTAGGTAGATCCAAATTGACCTCTGGGCACAAACATGAATTGAGATTCCAATCAGCTGCAGGTACAGGACCTGTAGTGTTGTCTCTGAAGCAATTGCTGCCTTGGTCTAACAACTGCTAGTGACTTGCCATTAGAAAAACAGCTTCTTTCTTATTATAAGCTGTCCAACCTATAATCTGGATTCTGCTGCAGGGTGTGCAGCAGAATGTGCAAAGCACGCGCAATAATAATGCAGTTTGATATGATATGTGTGGAGCCTGAAGGATTTGTACAGAATTACAATTTTGGTTAGATGTCATAAATACAACATCTTTTAGCTGACTGCTGTGGGTTAGAACTAATTATATATATTCCCATTGGAGGAGACTGTCACGCTTCTTGAAAAAAAGGAAAAAATGACAAGAACCCCAAATCTGAATTTTAAAGCAGCCTGGGAAGGATGGATTACATTTCTTTCTATCAGTCAAAACAGAGGTTTGGCATAATTTTTATTAGGAACATTTTTTAATTTTCACTTACGGGTACTATTTTTAGAATTGATAGCTTGTGAAAATGCATGCTGCTAATGATAACAAGAGGTAGATCATTTTAAAGTAAATAAAATGTAACATGAATTCTTTTCTCTTTATGAACATAAGGCTGTGTTAAAGACTAGCATGATCTGTCCCTGGCTGCTCAGTAATCAGGAAAGGAACTGTTATTCCTGCAAGGTGCATTGCTTAGGAACTATTTTGATGTTTCAGATTGTCAGCAGTTGTTATCAGATGCCAATAATTGGAGCTGTTGTTTCTCATAAGTGATCTGTGATAGAGCAGTTATTCAAAATGTCTTGAAGATGTAAAACATCAAATTCTGGACTTTTTGCAAATAATTGGTGTAAGTAATTTCAGTGACCTCTACATTTCTGTTTCAGTACATATGAAAATAATTTCAGATTCATCATCTCTGTCATTCTGGTGCAAGAGTCATTGTTTCTGTGGTTGTCACAGGAACAGGATTACTTTCATCCCAGCATTTTTTGTAATCTTTGCATGTGTACCTGAACAGCTTTAATAGATTTTTTTTTCTCCTACGGAGCTCTCACTGACAGCAAGTTAGAATTGCAAAACAGTTGGCAGAGTCTTGGCTATTGGGAAATTTGAATTACTCTGACAAATTTATTTTTTCTTTTCCAACGCCTATGTGTAAATCTGCAGCTTTTAGTTTCTCCTCCATTCACAGTGAGTTCTCCTTCCTGCCCACCTCCCCTCTCCAAGATGTGAGTTGCCCATTCTGTTTCTTGAGCAGTAGGCAGTTCTTACGTTAGTTTTTCAGTACATGGTTCTGAGGTACCTTCTACATAGTATCCAAACATATTGTTATTGCTTAATAATTAAATTCTTAAATTATGGTGCTCATATCTCAGTATTAGAGCTTTCCACAAATGTCTTTGATACAGTAGGATTAGCTTGACTATTTTACTGAAGGTGAACTTAGGCTTGTACACTTAAGTTATTGCTGTCAAAAATATCCAGCCATTTAGATGTCTAATCTGGGAATCCTCCGGCGTGGTTGTTCGGGTAGTATCAACATAAAATATTTATTTCATTATAGTATTCAAAATCTCACAGTGTTTAAATTAACTGCAGTAACAGTTATAAATGAAATTTCAGACATTTCAAGTGGACGTGATGGATGTGAGGAGGCCATCATCAGGGACAACTCCAGCCAACGTGTCCAGTTGGGCATTACTGTGGCTGTTGTTTTGTAGTCAGAACTGTCTTTAGTGAGTGGTGTTCAGGTGCTCTAAGCAGGGAACCATCCCTTTGTCATTCTTTGCCTTTGTCACACGCTTCTGCAGAAGTTTAGGAGGTGTCCTAGGTACAGCAGTGAGCATTTTGAGGTATTTATTTAAATATTAGTTTGCAGTTGGGGCTGTTGGAATCTGACAGAAAGAATCTTGCATCTATTTTGCATCTGTGCAATGTAGTCTGATTAGACTTTAATTGGGCCATGAATTTTAATTAATTAATTAAAAGTAAAAGATGCATGTTAAATTGCTCATTACAAGAAGAGTTAGTTTGAGTGAAGAGATAGATCTAATGTGGACAGAGAAGATAAAAGCTCCCCTTCAGTATCTTTCCCATCAGCATCTTTTCAGGGGCAGAGGAGGAGAAGGGAGATTCTGCCCTTGATGCTCTCGGGTTGTTGGCTCATGCAACCAGTAAACATCCACTTGCTTTGCCACCAGCTTCCTCCACGTCCTGCGAAAATCACTTAAGCAGAAGTTATTTTTCTCCTTTTCCAATCGAATGGGAATACTGCTACTAATTGCACTCTCATGGCATTAAGTCAGTGCATACAGCGCCCTGAGGTGAAAGGCTCAGAGCCATGTATTATTTATTTCCTAGTATGATGTGCAGAGAGTTGTTCCCCAAGGCTGACGTGAGATTATCAGCGTACAAAATGACTGTTCTGATGGTAATAACTCTCAACTTAAGCTATCAACTTTGACATCTGATGAACAGTAACCTGGGGATGAGAGACTTAGCATTTCATTAAGAATCTGCTGTCCTTGAAGAGTTGCTCAGTCTTTAAACAGAGGAAATCAATCACATCACTTAAATTAAGTTCTCCTTATCATAAAATATCTAATCGCCACTTAATATAAATCTTTTTCATTTTAATTTTACTGTTTCTGGGAAGATGACATGTTGCATGGTTTAGCAGCTTGGTTTTCTGTGGCAGACGGTAGTTCCCACGAAGGGAGCTTGTAGCATGAGTGGGGGAACATTGGACCGTGTCTGGGGTAGGATAGCTCCAGAAAGGGTGTCCAAGAAAGCAATGAAGCAATGCAGGCGGACTCTGCACTCAATTCCTTGTGAGGGAAAGGATGAATCTTCAAAGGGAGGCTGTCACTTCCTCAGCCTATACACTGGGCATGTCTTGGGTCAGCAGATCTGGTGTGGAAGCTGCGTGGCATTGGTGAGGTTTACTTAGGGTTCACTCAGATGACCATATGGGAATTTAAACTCATTTTTCTGACTGCAGCAGTTAAGAGAGTTTTATCTCTACTAAAGAAAGTCAAACCATCTGGCTCATCTAAAAAAAAATGATAAAGTGATGAAATTTGGGACACTTAGTCTAAGGAAGATAGTATTATAGGAATTTCTGTCAAACTGAAGAGTGAGTCTGTTAGTCAGGTACTGTATAGTAATGGAAGGTGCCAGAAATATGTGTGGCATGGGATGTTCTCTCATCCCTGATAGGGTGCTTGGACACTATGCTATATAAAGACTGAACCTGACAAATGTTTTTTTTAAGTAAACCCATACCATTATTTCTAGCTTATAGTTTATACCTTCAGAAGATACAAAAATCTGTTGCCTTGTTTTATATCCTGTTGTGTATGTAGTGAATTGCTGTCTCCTGTGATGAGCTGTATGTGGTCTTACTCCTAAATGAGGTATGTGAGGAAAAAATGTCTGTCTCTTCAGAAAAATATGAGTGAATGAGAACACTTTCCACACATCCTCTCTTCTGGTCTCTTATCTGTACTTCAGTGCCATAGCATTCTAGTTAATTTACTTTGTAGACATATTGGCAAACTCCACTTTACTCTTGACTAATATTTTAATGTGCACACTGAGAGGCAGACATGAAACATGTCCAGAGGATCTGTTTCTTACTGGGATATCCACACCAGGTCAGTTTCTCATGTCCAGAACAGCAGAGAAATTTGGTAAGCACAAAAAACAAAGGAGCTTATTTTTCATACATTGCTAAAACCGAATAATACAATCACATAATGGCTTTGATCAGAAGGGACCTTAAAGCCATCCCCAACCCCCTGCCATCAGCAGGGCTGCCCCCCAGCAGCTCAGCTGCCCGGGGCCGCATCCAACCTGGCCTTGAGCACCTCCAGGGATGGGGCACCACAGCTTCTCTGGGCAGCTGTGCCAGTGCCTCACCACCCCTTCAGTAAAGAATTTCTTCCTAGCATCTAACCTAAATCTCCTCTTTTTTAGTTTAAAGCCATTCCTCAATGTCCTGTCACTATAAGAATGTGCAAAAAGTCAGCCTCCCTCATCTTTATAAACTCCCTTTAAATACCTGAAGGCCACAGTGCAATCTCCCCAGAGCCTTCTCTTCTCTAGGTTAAACAAGCTTAGCTCCCTCAATCTTTTTTTATAACAGAGATGCTCCAGCCCCCTGATCATCCTCGCAGCGCTCTAGACACAACAACTCCACATCTTTCTTTTGTTGGAGGCTGGGACTGGATACAGTACTCCAGGTACTCACAAGGGCAGAGCGGTGGGACAATCCCCTCCCTCTTCCTTCTGCCACCTCTCTTTTGATTCAGCCCAGGATACTGCTGGCCTTTCAGGCTCCAAGCACACACTGCTGACTCATGTCCAGCTTTTTGTCCACCAGGCTCCCAGGTCTGCAGGGCTGCTCTCTATGAGTTCTTCTCTCATTCTGCATACATATCTGGGACTGTCATGATTGCACTCTGATGCAATCTTTGTTTTCATAGTAAAGCTTGGGAGATGATAAAGAGATCAAGAAAACTTCTTGAAGAGCATCAGAATCTAAGAACTGAGGGTTAGAGACTGTGCAGTGGTTGTCAGAGAGTCATGGCTCAAATACATGTTCCTAAAAAATGTTGGTGCCTTTTCCTCCAAACGAGACACAAGCTTTGTCTTCATTCTCCTGCAGCTGTGATTGCAGTCCTGATATTTAATTCCATCATTTCAAAATCATAAGTATTACTGATGCTGCTGCAACTCTTGTTATTCCATAGCTACAACTACAGCTATCTACAAAGCTGAAAAGCTGTGATCTAATAAGACTTTTCTCACCTCTGTTCTGCGTATGGATTATTGTGCTGTTAAAACTGGTGGATTTTTATGTCTGGTGCAGGTGTCTCTGCAGGCTCTGTCATGGATGTCCTGAGTTTTCAGTCTCATCATCTGTGCAAATATGAATGCAAGACATGAAAATCTACCTTTTTTTTCACTTTCTCCTTTCCAGGTCAACGGGGACATTCCACCTCGATTAAAAAAGAGTGCCCATGAAATAATCCTGGATTTCATCCGATCACGACCTCCATTAAATCCTGTATGTAATCCAGCATTCTTTTCTAACGAAAATGTGGCTTTGTAAAGGATGTCTGTCCAGGGAATATGTTAAAAATAGTTTCCGACATGGGCTTTCAGGAATACTGAATCGTGTACGTAAAATGCGGTCTCTTAAAGAGCAGTGTGTTATAACCTTGCACCAACCAGCAGCTGCTCCTGTCGGCGGCCCTTTATCTCTAAGTCAGAAAAAAATACAATTCTCTTTCCAGTTTCTGTGAGTTTTTCAAAAGAGTTCACATAAAATCATAAAATAAAATGCCACTTTTTTTTTTAATTAGGAAAAAAAAAATCATGACATATACTTTTGAGGAAGCGCTGTTTTATGTAAATATAATTGTCTTTGTCTTCCAAGGCCTCTGCAAGAAAACTGAAACCAACCCCACCACGGCCACGTAGCCTTCACGAGAGGATACTGGAGGAAATCAAGGCTGAGAGGAAGCTGCGTCCAGTCTCACCAGATGAGATAAGGCGTAGCAGGCTGGGTAAGCACACAGCGAGTTTTTACCAGCAACTTTCACAGAAAACTTTCCACATAAGAAGCACCAATATCTGTGTAGCAATATCTGTGTAGATGTCACTGAAGATAAAAATAACTCTTGTCCTTTCAGAATAAAGAACCAAAAGACTTTTCTAGAGCTGTATAGTCTTCGTACTAGATTATTTTTAAAAATAGGGTACTGTATGTTCAGCTTGATCCCATTGTGTTTGTGATATGTTAGATAAATGGAATACCATTATAATGCTTGTTGGATATGAGAGTTCATGTTAGATTTGATCAGAATGGAATGGATGCTGGTTCTCCCTGGTGCAGTATTCCTTACATATCTTTAAGTATTCTTTACATGTCTGTTTTCAATTAATTTTTTTCTCTTTGTTTCCTGTTATTAGCATCATCAATTTTCCTCACTCCAGTTGAAAATCTGCTTTTATTTGTTTGCTGAAAGTATTGCTTCTATTTTAAATGTAAATCTTTGTTTTGTTTTATAAGTTACTGAGCATGTTGTTGTGTATTTTCAGTGGACAAACAATTAAGACTTGTTCTGCAAAGCCGTTCATTTCTGCCATGTGCATTCAACACCCTATTACAAAATACAAATACTACACTTTCCAACAACCATCCATTTGCACTAGTTCAGTGGTTCTGACATTGACAAAAGCATGACAAATGCAGCCTTACGTTGTGACATACTTTATAAGCTCGATATTTAACTGCATTAGTAAAACTGATCTAGCTGGATTTTTGAAGAGCGAAAGTGGCATCTAATGGTTGAAAAAGCATGAAATAATCCACGTACGCAGAATATTTGTGCCTGCCACATGTGCTTAAAGGCACTGATCCACATTCAAGTGGATTGCAGCAACCCATTGTCTCTGAAGAAAAACAGTTCCATTAGTCATTTCGTGCATTGTTCTTTTGAAGTGCTTGGTAGAGTTCAGTGAATTCTTGGGTGCAATCTTAAATGCATGATGTTTTGAATTTCATTTGGGCCTTCTAGCTTCTGCTTTGTACTCAATTAAAGCTTCTGTATCAACCAATGTTCCTAATAGCTATAGACATTTTTCCAAATGTAGGGAGCTTGTAAAACCATGGAACGATTCTTTGCTTTTCTTTTCAACATTTAACTTCAGTATTTTACATGTTCTACATGCCTTGACAGGGGCAACAAATCTGATTTATGTATTTATACTTTGCAGTTTTTTAACAGATATTAATTACTTCAAACCCATTTAGTAAACAGTTCCTAAAGCAGTCTTGGATTTTGGAATGTTATTGGTTGGGACTTTTGAGTTGATTTCAGAATATGTCCTCCAGTGAGGAGTTCCTGTCTTCCACTGGTTCTTCTCCTTTTACAAAAGAAGGAATTCTTTAAGTTTTGGGACTGTGGTAACATCCCTTCAGTCCAATGAATATTACTGGAGGTGTAAAAAGAGATGCATGTGAATTTTACTTTCCAAACATAGTTATGAAGATTTTATTATTTTAATGTGAAATCATATAAATGATTAATTTGCTCTTGGCATAGGAAAGGAAAAAAGTACAAAGAACTTGAAAATAATTGTTATTTTGTTGAATTGTAAGGTTTGGGTTTTTGTCACACTGAAATTATTGTTTTGCCCAAAGTTCTTAGAATAAAATATGTTCCTGCAGAGTTGAGGATGAAATAGTGCTGGTGACCTTCTATATGGTTCAAATAGACCTGCTGTAGTTTAGGTGGTGATTAAATGTAATTTAGTGTAGCAAAATGTTAGGCAAAAAGATTTAAGGATTACAAATCTAAGTAGAAACACAATTGGGACGCTTACACCATCTGGACAGAAATATTTGTTGATATTAAAAAGACAGAAACGGAGCATTAGAGTGAAATATGTGGGAGTATATGGTACTTTCCACATTTCCTGAAGTTATTTGTTGTTCACTTTAAAGCAGTCAAGCACATTCCCTCATTTGAGTACTAGGGGAAGAGGGCTGTACTCTGCAGTTCCTCCTCTGCAATATCAGTGGACCCGTGGCATATGCTTCCCAGCAGCCACAGGCTTTGCTGCCTTGCTCTGCACAGCACAGGTAAGAATCTTCTCCATCATGAATTGCCACTGAGCAAAGAGAGCACGTGGAACAAAGTGCCAGCCTCCAAGCCATGCTTATGGGCTGCAGTTGGTCCAGGGCTAGCCAAGGTTGAGCTAAAACTTCTTTGGGAATGATAATTTAATCCTGATAGCTGCAGTTACAAATGGCGACTAGGGAGAGGAATCTGAGTGATTTTTTGAATGGCATTATCACATCATCAGAGTAAACTATCAAGACAAAGACAGTTTTGTGGTGCCCTTCGAATTGAAATTTAGATTTATGACTTCAGCAAGTTGAGCTCATGGAGCTTGGAGAAAACTTTATTTCATACACATTTTATCAGCCTTCTTTTAGGACTCCGCATTAGGTGATAAAACCCTTATGCTTTAAAATGTATTTGCCTTTAAGTTACCTTTGGACAGCAAATTAGATGCTTCTTCTGTGACTGCTGTCTGTGGCTGATGTTGTCTTGGTGATGAACTACGGGAAAAATGCCCTGACTCCTTAGTTTGGATCAGCGTCAGCCACCTACTGTGTTCCCTGCCTAAATTTACACTTGTGAGCAAAGGTTGTCCCAGCGCAACCTTTTTTCAACATGTTTTAACGCAGCAGTGCCTGACAGACCCTTCGTGCTGCCGTGCGTGTTTGTCATCCACAAGTATCAAAGATAAGCTGACGGCAGTTTTGATGTGTTCTGGTACATTCTTGTAGCTGGGCCTGGCCTGCTTATCTACATCAGTGTAGTGAAATTTTGGTTTCAGTTGAGAATAGATCGAGTGCCTACTCCCTGAATGACGCTGTGTAACTTGAAATGGAGGTAGGCTGAGCACAGCAGTAGTTTGTGTGCGTTTGGGGCTGGGACTGCAGTCAGACCAAAGGGCCAGGAAGGCTCAACAGCTGTGCCATGTGATTTTCTTGTATCCAGAGATTGTAATTTCATGTGCGATTTTTTGTTATTAAGCTGACAAGGAACAAAGCTATTGGTTACGTAAACGTTCCAGAAATAAAGAACATCTGACCGTTTCTTATCAAGGAATAAAATGGCTGAAAGCACCCAGGAAAACATGGATGCATTTTAAAGGCTAAATCCACCTAATGTTTTTAAAAGGACAAAAATCAGCACAAATCACACTACTAGGCCTTTTTTTTTCTTTCCTATTCAAGGAAACAACTGCTCAAGCTGAACTTGAGTGTCCCTCTTTATTAGTTTAATTATAATCATTGGAGATTACGCTCAAAAAAATTAGAAATATTTATTTCAGGTCACTGAAACCTGTGTGAAATGTGGCTTTTTTCAGCTCTTTCTTTCTCTCCTGTCTCTCTTTTTCTCTCTCCTTTCTTTCTTTCATAGCATTTTGGTTGAAAAATACTGTGGTACTAAGATACTTGCTTCTTGTTTTGGTATTTGATATTAATTTTGATACTAATTCCAAAAATCTGGTTCTACAGTTATACAAGCATTCTTATTCTTGCTCTTTTTGCAAGTCCAACTTAATGTTGCTGTAGTTTTCAGACTTGAAGCTTTACTACAGTAAAGCAATACTGTCTGATACATTTTGGATTTAGGCAACAGAATCCAAAATGCCAGTAGTGGAATTAAATCTTTGGTTTTCATTACCCCTCTGCTTTTCTAACAGCTGAATCATTTTCTTTTTGTTGTTTTTATTTCTTCTTTACAGCAATGCGGCCACTTAGCATGTCTTACAGTTTTGACTTGTCAGGTAAAAAGGTGCAGCAACACCTGACGTGGTCATTGTGCTTATTGTGAAATTTGTTCCATCTGTTTGTTGAATTCCCATGTAAGAAAGAAACTTGAAGGGATTCTTCCAAGGTATGGTCAGTAAAAATAAAAATTAAGATTAATTACTTGTGTTAATACCTGCATTTCCTCTGCTGTGAAAGTATACCTAGGAACAGGAAACAGCTGTATTTCATCTGAAGTAAAGTGTTGGCATTCTATTTAAATGAATAACCTTCCTAAGGTAGCCTGGAGCTATTCCAGATTCTAAAAAGAATTCACTCTCACCTTCAAGTTCGGATTGCTTATTATTTATTAATCTGACCTTGGTGTCTTTACCGGCACTTTCTGACTAGGTTGTTTTCTGCAAGATTTCATTTCTCATGAGCACCCAAAAACTATTTTGAACTCTTCTGCCTTTCTAAATTTAATGAACTACACCACTAATCTGGAAAGGATCTGTCAATTGTACCAAGTATTTTAAAGTAAATATTTTGAGAGTTATGAAATCAAAGATGTTTGCTCAAAAGATGTTTGCTCCTGCTTTGCTAGGTAATGAACTAACTTGCAGAGATATGCTGGTACCAGCTGACATAGAGAAATTCAATAGCTGATCCTTCATCAACCATCTAATACCAAATGTAAAGGCTTTTCTTAGTGGACCATTAGTTAGAGCATGCAGTGGCTGTACAAACATGTTCTAGTTCAGAATAGCAACTTCAGAGAGAGTTTGTGCTAGCTGTACAATAAATTTGGTCCTCCCTCTTGTACACTAACTTTCCAGGGTGCTCCCAAATGCTATCATTGAGGCTATCGGTATTTTACATTAGCCTCAAAGATTTGTTCACTGAGGAAGGCTACTATGCTAGCTCTTAGCTAATTTCCCCTGGGTATCTCCTGAAAAAAAGAAAAATCCACGCTCTCATTTTGTGAAGAAGCAACACCAGCTATATCATTCCCTTATCTCCTTCCAGTTGCACATGGAAACATCTCATCCAGGGATTATGCAGTGCTTTCTTCCTCTGTTTCTCAACCCATCCTCTAACCTCTCTTTCCCTTAGAAAGGCATAATCTGATTGAAATGATTTAAAGAAACAAAAAAAAGTTATTTGATTACCATGATACAATCAAATACAATAGCTTTGTAATACAGAAGTGAAGTCCACCAGTTAATCTCTGAATGTGGTTCCACATCATGGCTGAGCCAAGCAAACAGCTTGCCGTTGCCAAGACAGAGGAGGGGGCTTTTTCTTCTTTCTCTCCCCCTCAAGCATGCCATTTCCCCTTCCTCCTCTGTGCTCATTTATTCAGAAGATAAACTGATTCAATTCATATAAACTAGGCACAAATACTCATATTTTTGCACGGCTGGCTTTGTGCTATTTCAGTGTTTTAAACCTGCTTGCTATCTGATCTTGGAGCTGGCTGATGGCAGATAATGAGCATGGGTGGATGGGAGGAAGGAACAGGCTTTCCCTGTCACAGGCGGTGGCAAGCTGTTAATCCAACTCAGGCCTTTTGTGAAAGCCTGTGCTGACGGTGTATTGTATAGCTACTACAGCTGTCTGGTAGGCTCCAAATTATGCATGCACTTGGTATCACGCTTTACTCTGCTGAAAGCTGAAGTGTCCCCAAGGGGCAGATAAGAGCGTGAACATACTCCAGATTTCAGAAAGTACTCTTACAAATTTCAGATATGCTTGAAGTTGTAAGTTGCTTTAGATTTAAAACTATAAAACTGAATGTGCTTGTCATCAATGGAAGAGAAATTTCATATCTGTCCTTCTTCATGTCTGCTTCTTCTTTTGCCTTTTGTTTCTAAGAATCCCAAGGCATCCTCATTTGTTTAAATCCAAAAAATACCTTATTAATACTCCATTCATAATCAATTCATTACCATTATATTTTTACTTTGAAGAAGTAACTGCATAGCAATCTACACTGTACTTGGAATTGCACTTTTTGACTGACCTCTGAAGAACTCTTCTTGTTTTCTTTGCCCATCTTCTAAATGTGATTGGGTTGGTTTTTTTGGTGTTTTTTTTTTTCTTTTTCTTTTCCCAAGTTATGTGGTTCTCAGCAAGTAGTGTCATATTGTGTGACTGAGTGGTAAGGTAAAGGTGATAAATCACCTTGTTAGTTAGTTGTGGATTATTAAAACCTCCCAGTTAGCTGGATGTGAGGCACCAGATGAGCAGTACAAATGAATTGGATGGGCTGGGATGTAAGCCGTAAGCAGATAACTGGGAGCTTTGAGTGCTGTTACTTTGTATGCTTTTTTTTTTTTTTTCTTAGCTGTGCTTTCATTTTCTGGTCACTGTTTCCACATACTTGCTCTTTCACTGCTTTCATTGCTCTCTGCTTGACGGAATTGCTGTCACAAAACCACAAACCTGATGAAAATCAGAGTTGTTTTCTTCTAAGTGCTAACAGACAGGCTCAGGGCTTTGTTACACTTACTGTAAACAACTTTCTCTGGCACCAAGCTGGAGAAGCTGACGCGTCACACTGCCCACCTATCTCCCTGCCACTGTCAGCCTGGGGATGAGGGGAACGCACGTTCCTGCTAGTGAGCAGAGGGAGCAAGCACATATGATTACAGTAATCTGAGGTGTACTTCATATTGGCTAGGGACCAGGGCAGGCAGTAGCTGCTTCCTCTTATAGAAAAATAACTTAAAAGCATCTTTATTTCTATGAACTGAATTGACTGAATTGGTCAAAAGACCAGCCACTAATTCCCTTACCACTCAAATTCTTACCTCAAAGTTGTGTGCACACCTGCTTTGAAGATAATATTTAAGCCACAGTTTGCTCATCTGGGAGCAGAGAAGAAGAGAGAGAAGAAAAAGGAAACTGAAACTTTTAAACCAAAACTTCACATGGTTTCCACCTCTGTGAGTTAATTTGCATTACTGTTGATTTTACACAATGTATGCCTCAGACCCTTTATGGAGGAGGGAACTCCACCAAGTCCCAGTAATCTCTTAATTTAGATAATACAATAATGAGTGTGATGCAAACACCAGCAAAAGGCTGACTGGTATAGATTTATTAGTTCTCATGTCCTGGACTTCACTAGCTCAGTCCATTAAAAGAAGCAGCACACATCTGTTACTTCTGTTCATTATATATTTCCCAGTATATTTATTATACAGAACGACAGAATTGCAGGATTTGGAAGAGACCTTTGGAGATTGTCAAATCCAGCCCCCTTGCTACAGTAGGTACCTTACAGTAGGTAGCACAGGAAGGCGTCCAGCAAGTCTTGATGTCTCCATAGAAGGAGACTCCACAGCCTCTCTGGGCAGCCTGTTCCAGTGCACTGTCACCCTTACCATAAATAAGTTCTTCCATATATTTGTGTGGAACTTCGTATGTTACAGTTTCTGGCCATTGCTCCTTATCCTGCCACTGCACACCACTGAAAAGAGTCTGGCCTCATCCAGTTGCCTCCTGCACTTTAGATATTTATAACACTGACCAGACCCCTTCTCAGTCTTCCATTCTCTAGTCACAACAGTTGCAGGTCTCTCAGCCTGTCCTCATACAGGAGATGCTCCAGGACGTTCATCATCTTTGTCGCCCTCCACTGTATTCCTTCTAGGAGATCCCCGTTTGTTTTTTTTTTTAACAGAGAAGCCCAGAATTGAACACAGGACTTCAGATGTGGCCTCAGTGAGGCAGAGCAGGGCGGGGAGGATCACCGCCCTCGACCTGCTGGCTGTGCTCTTTTTAATACACCCCACGATCCCACTGCCCTTGTTGGCCACGAGGGCACACTGCTGGCTCATGGCCAACCTGTTGTCCACCAGGACACCCAAGTCCTTCTCTGCAGAATTCCTCTCCAGCAGGTCATTCCCTAACCTGTACTGATATATGTGCTTATTTCTCCCAGATGAAGGACTCTACACTTGCTTTTGTTGAACCTCATTGGGTTCCCCCCTACCCAGCTCTCCAGTCTTTCCAGGTCTTGTTGAATGTCACACAGCCTTCAGCTGTCAAACATTTCCTCCTAGCTTTGTATTGTCTTGCTGAGGATGGACTCTATCCCGTTATCCATGCCACTGATGTTGAACAAGACCAGACCCAGCACCAGCCGCTGGGGAACACCACTAGTTACAGGCCTCCAACCAGACTCTCTGCCACTGATCACAGCAATTTGAGCTCTGCCAGTCAGGCAATTCTCAACCCACCTCACCATCCGCCATCGTAACGAGCAGAATGTAAACAAGCCTTAATTCTCCATCCATTTTAGTCTTCTTTCAAACCTAGTGTAAAAATGATAATGGAGAACATATTTGCTGTATAGAATCAAACTCAAGTTTCTGTTTCCATTGTTTTCCAAGGAGAGCTGGTTGGGAGCAGACAGCATGGTTACGTGGCTACTGTAGTTAGTGTTTAATCTGTGGTCTGCTTATTCTTTGTTTCGTTAGAGACACATAATGTAAATCAAGGCAAATTTCATATTGTCCTAGGATGTTTTTTCTCTCCCTTCTTAGAATGCTAGTTAGGGAAGGCTGACACAAAGATAAGTAATCAAGTCTAAGACATGATATTGCAACATTTCCTGTTGTAATGATCACTCAGAAGAATCTCTGAACAAACCAAACATGAATGCAATTTGCAGGTACTGTTCATTGTGCTCACTGCCTGAAAATATGGAGCTATGACGCACTCCCAGTGGGTCTGATTCTCCAATGAAATCTGAATTTCAGGCTGTTACTCACAGAGTTTTTGTTGTTCGTTTTTTAAATGTTCAAAACATTTAGATATTCTGTGAAACTAGAGATTGTCTAACTGATATTTGTTTTAAACAGACAAATTTATTTTTGCTTCAGTGAATTTTCCATGAGTTTCTTCTGCCGTACGCCTTTTTATAAGCACCTGTCTATTCATTGCTTCTGACTTATTTATCCTAAGTAGTTTTATCCTGTTTGTGGTGATATATGCCTATTTGCCACACTATAATGTTTCTGCTGCCTGAATGCATCTCTAGAAGAGTTTATATAAAGTTATGATATTTTCTTTCTAAATTAGCTAAAAAATTCTGTTTTTAATTTTGGAATAATTATTTTTGTTAAAATCTGATGGATGAAGCTAAATTTATGTGATCTTTCCTTTAAATTATGATAATCTATCTTTTCATGTATATCCAGTACTGTAAGTGCAGGAGTGCTAAACTGAACTGAAGCATTGTTGTCCAAAAAAATTTTGTAAGTGGATGGATTTGGGTTTAGTTTCACCTTCTGGGGTTTTTTTTCTTTAGTGCTTGAAAATTGTAAGAACACTCCCCTTTTTATGTTGATAAATGACATTTTCTACTGAAGAACCCTTCAAAACAAATGCTGTGGCTGTCTTCTAGGTTCACTTAAAGCTTCTCTGGTACTTCAAGCAGACAAAAACAGTATGTTTCTAAACAACTCATACATATGAGAATAGAAATAAAAACATTTTTAGGCTGTGCAAATAGTAGTTGACTACAAAAATTACCTCTGCAATGGATCAGAAATTTCCATTTCTGGAGCCTAAAGTCTTAGAAAACAAACTAAGCAAACAAACATAAAATAACAACAAATAACAATTGATGTCATAGATCTCAGATATTCAGATCTTTAATATCACATCCTGTAGTGCTAGGGGATGTCTGGTGAATGTTGTTTCCTAGCCCCTTTCCCCAACTCTATTGCGTGTTTTCTTTTTTGGAGAGGGCAATAATATTGTCACTTTTGGCTGCCGTGTCCCTGGTGCTGGGGCTAACGCTATGGCTGGTCTGTTCAGGAGCTGCTCTGTGCAATAGAGAGACAAATCAAAGGTTTTCCTCTTGTTCATATGGGAAAAGCCCTAAGCTTCTTCACTCAACTGCTTGCCAGCTAGTTATGGGATCTCATGAAGTGGTGCTGGCAACAGGGAGGAGAGGCGGTTTAGTTTTTGTTTTCATGCTGTCACTTTCTGGAATTGCACAAAGCAGTCGTTACAGTAGGAATGCATTTGATGTGGAGGACACCCATGCTGTACTCGCAAAAATCTAGGAGGGGAGAAAAACATGACCTAGAAGCCATAATGCTAGTCAGGATAGCCATTAGCAAAGCCTTTGAAGATAGGAACTAAGGGATAGGGAGTCTAAGTCTTTGATTGCAACTCTTTGTAGGGAGGACCTGAAGGCAGTAATAAACTGTAGTACAGATTCACAGGCTTGGAATGTCACGACTTTAACAACCCAAATAATCCCCTTTTCTTGCATTCCCAATTGAAGATATGATTTATTGAGGAACTGTAATATGTCTGCTGCCCTTTCCCTCTGTTTTCAGCATATAACAGTGAGCTAATCAATTCTATTAAATGCATACTAATTTAACTCACTCTTCTTATTATTCATTTAAATAGCTGCTCTGGTGAGAATGTTGGAAAGCTGACCTAATATGGCAACTAAGGGTTTGTCTATACTATGTAGTTTTAAATTAACTTTTCAAGAACAGCTTTTATCAGAGCCAGTTGTGTTGTAGCAGCAGTGACCATCTCTGTTTAAATCAGAGCAAGGCTGCAAGTGACTCCAAGTGAGGTGTGAGTACTTGCATTGTTGGCACTGGGAATATCTGGACTATATCATTTCTCTGCCGTAGTCCTTCTGGTAACCTAAGGTTCGAGTCGTTTGACCTTCCGTGCCTCTTCTCACCATAAGTAAAAATGGGAATAATAACACTTCATTACCCTAACCCTAAAATACCTGGAGGTATTTTGTTATTACAAGACTGGGAAAGGAGTCATGTAATTACATGGGTAGAAGAATGCATTTGTAGAAAGACCAGATACTTAGGCATACATGCAAATAGGAGATTAAAAGCTTCTCTTCATTCTCCCTCCAATGTAATTTTCTTCAGATCGGAATACTGCACTTTGTACTTTTACAGGGATAAAGCTGAATTATCAGAACAAACTCTAAGCGCCCCTAAAATATCAAAGCCTAGGTCATTATCTTAATGTCTAAGCTAAGCTCGGCTAAGCATGGCAGACCCTGGGCTTAAATTGCCAGAGATTCATCCTCATTGCACATGGCCAGAAACCCGGAGTAATTTATTTGGTGGAGTTGCATCCTTGTAAAACACATGCAGATGAAAACAGAACAGCAGCTTCGTGTTTCTGCTGTTACATGAACATTTAGCTTCACAGACGTGTTTTTAATACAAATGACCACTCAAGCCCATGAACTGTGCATATTTTTGATGAGTGCTAGTTATTTAGCTCATTCTCATTCCTCTTCTGTGTTCTGCAGAATAAAGTATAATTCTGTCCTCACAGGAATAACAAGATTTACTCCACACTAAACCTCATAATTTCTGTGTGGCGTTGCCTTCAGATTCACTGGAAACCCACTTGTCCAGATACAACTGTACCTTCTTCTGATACTTAGTTAATTAGAGACTCTAAGTTGAAGGAAGAATATTTTTGTTTTCAACACAGGAATTTGTTCTTAAAGTTGACCAGGGTTAGTCTGGGGTGTTTTTTAAGTGTTTTGCACCGCTGCTTTTCCCATTGCTTTCATTCCTTCATATTGCTTCTGTACCATAAGCCGTTGCCTGTAGTTCTCAGCAAAGTATTGCTGAAGTAGAACAGCTGCACATGTAGAATATCACAATATGGTTTTTTTCCTTATGTGTGCATAGACTTTACAGTAAGGTTTGAGGAGGCAAAGCAGATTGATCTACCTCGGGCACGAGGTCCAAGCACCGACTGTTCTGTTTCTTTCGCTAGATGTCTCTGCGCCAGAGGCTGGAAGGAAGTCAGAGGATGGCTCTGTAGCAAACGGCAGCCTGGCATCACGGGGGAAGCAGAACGGCGCCACGCAAGTGACAGTGCAGCGGAAGAGACTCCTGAAGGCTCCCACACTGGCTGAACTTGACAGCTCAGATTCAGAGGTAAAATATCGGGGTTGACCTTGATTCTTGCTTGTCAGAACTTAGTGCTATTCCTTCATTGGCTGAACCAATCAGCTAAGTGTCTATGTAGAATGCAATGCGAATTTTATGTGGCTGCTTCAGAAATAACAAGATCAGGTCTCAGAAATCAGAACATTCTTTAAAAAGTTAAATGATGGTTTTGTCCTTAGTCCCAGTATTCACTCTTTTTTTATTTAATGCCCAGTATCTGTCCATAGTGTATGTGTAGCAGTTATGCTTTTGGGAACGTAGACAATTGTTTTTCACCCTTCTGGCACCCTTGCAGGAGCTGTCATTAAAGGCCTCAGATGTAAGCCCAGCCCTACCATACCAGCTGTTAAATAAGGAGAATTAGCTCTGCCAGAAAGGTTGCAGTTCAGTGCAAATTCAGTGGGTTAGGCTGTTACGTAGGCTTAGGAAGTAACACCCGGCAAATGTTTGCAGATAGAGATGAGCAGACACTGCTTAGGTGGAGAAGCAACTTTGAATCCATTCTCTCTCAAATGGAGAATTAATGATTTTTAGAAAGCGTTGAAAGAAGAAAGGAATAAAAAAATCTCTCCAGTTTAAAAGCCACATTGAGTATAGCCTTTGAAGAGCACCAGTATTACATTATCAGGAATGAATTTTGTCTTTTGGCCCAGTAATATTACTGAGATTGAACTTTTCTGAAAGTCAAGCTGTCAGGAAAGTCAGGGTTTATTTAGAGAGGTTAATTTTAACCAGGGGAAGGCAGTCTTCCCTGGCTCTTTCTCTGTATTAAATAGGGAAGGTGGGGTTTCCTGACAAGCACTTACAAAGGTATCTAAGCTGAGAGATAGGAGGCTGGGGAGAAATAAAATTGGAGATAAATGTATCTTTTTGTGTACTTTCCTTATCCCTGTGAAGTTGACCCTCTTTGTGTTGTGGGTTATCCTATGGGAGACTTGTATGTGTGCATAATTTGGTGCATCCATACTGAAAGCAGAAGAAATTAGCATTCTGAAATCTCTCAGCAGTGTTTAAAATTACAATAGAGGCTATGTGAGGTTTTGTTAATTTTAACAAAGCTGGGCAGGACGCAGGAATATTGAGACTTGTTAATGAAAGAATTGGATTTTGAACTCTAATCTTTTCAGCTTTTAGGTCAGTGCACCCTGAAGTTAATGCAGTATGATATCTCACACAGAAAAATGAGCAGAAATTAGCGAAAGAAAATTCTGTACAGGGAAACATTAAGCAATTATTATGGGAAGGAAAAATTCAATGTATGAGTATTGATTAGGAATACCATGCAGGCAAGCAAAGTCATACAGAAAAAAAGCGTTGGGGCGTAGAGGAGAAGATAAAATGAAGAATAAATCAGTCACATCAAATTGTCACAGAGAACAGATGTTGTATTGGTTTGAATCAAAAAAAGTAGCTGGTGAAGCAATTAAGAATATTAAAATGCCAAGCAGAGTACTGGTAGGGTTTCAGGAACAGTGCTAAAGTGGTGCAAACAAACATAATGGAAGGAGTTTGGATGAAATTTAACAAGCTGGCATGTGGGACATAGAAGATTTGAAGAAAGTGAAGTGTGCTCTGCCAGTATATCTTAATTGCTGAATTTTATTTCTGTATAACAAACTGAAGTGTATATGTTGTCCTGTTTGGCTATAAGCATCTCAGGCACCTCTTTGCCTTCATTTTGAATTGAGCTTAACCTATTTAGAGTTACTCACTGGGAGTTAAATTATGACTGTGTTATGTCCTAAATTACAGGCTGCAAATATCTGCACTGCTGAGCTACGGAGCTCCAAATAGGCTGTGATGCAAATGCATTTTTGTCCCCTGAATCCCCTTTGTTCTTTTCTCAGCTATGTTGTGATGCTGTCTACAGCCCAGCACTCAGTATTGCCAGCCAGAGGTGAAAGAAATGGTCTGATATTGCCCTATACCCATTTGCTGGCAAGGATGAATATCGTACAAATCCTACTATCTGTCCTTGTTTTTCTCTGTGTTGCTAATAGAATCATGGATTCAGATGGGGAGGAGGAAGAGCCATTTTGTCTTCATAATTTTGTCCGGCAACCTGGACAAAAATCATGTCAGTAGTGTAGTCAGATGGTTTACAGTGATGCCTTTAAAGCTGCAGCTTTCTCAGGACATTTAATATTACACATGAATTATATATATAATGTTTAAGTAATATTATTATATTATAAATTTAATGTTATAGTTATTCAGCTCTTAGTGAAAAAGTGCACAATTCCAGATGTTTGGTTTATCCAATCTCAGACATGAAAAGTCATATTGTCAGCCATAATAGTTAATAGTTGCTGTACTGATACAAAAAAGTTTGAGTAATCATAGGTCAGTAACAGCATTTTCAGTGCTTGAGTTTGTGAACAGAAGTAATTTGAAATTATAAACTTGGAATACCTATTGTCTAAGTAGGATAACATGTCAACATGTACTCCTGGCTTCCATTCTCCCTGGATTGATGGTTTATACTTAGCCATTGGCTCCAGACAGTTCATTCCCTATCATTCTTTAATGTAAGAAGTTTAGCTTCTGGGATCTTTCTTGTAAGTCTTTACCATAGAGAAGCCATTTATTGCCCTGTTTTTGTCTATTTCTGTCCCTCTCATTTTGAGGCTCCTAGGCCATCAAAATAGCCCCCAGAAAAACTCAGATAGATACAGCACAAATTAGTGAGGGCAAACATTACTAATGATGTCGCTAGAGTTTTTTCACAAAAGTGGGGAAAAGATGGAGACATCCATGTGCTGCATAGCTTTGCAACATCTAAGATATCATATCCAGCTTGATTTCGGAAGTGATGTGAAGAATAGTTTTTTTTTAGCTATTTCTTTCAGTTGGAATATGACCATTAGCAAGAGGTACCATAATCACTATTTTACAGTTTTATATGCAGTATATTTAGGCTTTTGACTTTTTCAGTTGTTCACCTTATTTTGTCTCTTATCTCCACACCGGTGTTTCAGGCACAGGAGAAATGCAAGAAAAATGAGAATCAGAAAAGCATGTAAATAAGCTCTGTGCACAAACTTGCTTGAATCATGATTCAGTCTTCTATAAAACTTACCATGTAGGACAATAAAAAAATAGAACACTTGAAATTTTTGGTCAGGACCAGGTAGGATCCCACAGAACAAGAAACTGTGCTCCACAGAGAACTGCTCTGCTCCTCTACAAGCTCCCCTCTACCCCTCGCTGAAGTTCTGGCTGCTCTTCATTCACAGAAATGAGCAGTAGAACAGCATGGTTGTGTTTTTTAATTGATGGCTTGCTTAGTTCTTCATCCTAGCCTTCTAGCTCCTCTGGCAACGAAAAAGTTATCTTTTACATAGATGAGTTTGACTTCTACAGATTGAGTAGTTTAATGGTTTACTTTCTACAGGAGTTAACAGAATTTAAACACTGAACTCCAGACTTGTGAGCGCTGTTGTACCACTTCTAGAGAGCAATGCATTCAGTTATCTTGTGAGTTCTGCAGTGATCTTTTAGGGCAACCATGTGGTGTGAAGCAGTGAACTGCAAAGATATCTGAGTGAGCTCTGTAGCTGAACTATATTGGTTTGTGGATGCAAAACAGCTGGTGCAGTTAAATATGCTGTTTAGACTTCCCTACAATTTTCCCATCTCAAATGTCTGGAAGAGACATATTGGATATGTTAAAGTGAGTACAATGTTTTGGGGTCTGACCTGGTTGGAGATTTTTGCAGAAGACTGTCTTGAGGCATATACAGTGTTACAGCAAACATCACATCACAGTTTCTTTACATACATTGCATACATGTCCTAGGGCTAAGCAGAAAGTACGGATCACCTGATGGCAATTTGTTAAGGCCTCTGTCCTGTGATGCATGGTGTTCATTGAGGTGACCCTGCCAGCTTTTCTTTTCTGACTTGCTGTTACCAAAGGCAGCATTCTTTCAGTTAGTGGGGATTTTCCTGCTTGCAGTTCAATAATGAGAGAAATCTGCGTGAGAAAGAGAGGCTCAGCCACTTGCTGGATTTTTGAGCTGGCCACCTCTTGTAAATCTTGACAAGTTAAGTGATTGTGAAACTCCTCGGTTAAAAGCATTCACATTGGAGCTAAACAGCATTCACAATCAGTCCTTCAACTCTGTTCCTTGGGGAGGCTCTTGTGATTCATGTATCCTACTGATATCTGGTGGCTGAAGACAGAGGTTTGGGATGGAATGATTTGGTGATTTGGGTGTCATAATGCCTTGGATTCCTGACAGGTGTTAGTCAAAGCCTGTTTCACCTTGGGCTTGACTTTGGCTTCTGTGATGAAACACAAAATGAAGATTCCTTTTAAATACATAAGAAAGGAGAAAAATACACTGGGATTAGTAATTACAGAACAGTGCCATGGAAGTCAGCTTAATTTCTCTTTTCTTTAGTGGGTGATATGAGTACCTGTTATTCCTTTGGAAACTGGAGAAATCCAAGGACTGATTTCTTGCTAGTGTGAGACATAAAATTGACTTACTGCATTTCCTGTAGTTAAAAATCCTTCAAAGATCTTGAGTACAATTACTGGTGGAAAAGTTAATAGAAAAACAAAACAGTAGATTTGTTTTGCGCCTGTTCTTTAATGTGGTGGTTAAATGCACTGAATTCCAACCACGTACCATTTATATTCCAGTTTTTGCAAAAGTTGAGCTTAGAAAATTACATAGCTCTGTGTAGCGTGAACATTTTTTCTCAGGACTTCTTCTAGGGCTTTGTGTGATTTAAAGTGGTAAAATGCCTTTGATAGCTTGTGATTTCTATGTGCTAACAAGCAGTAAGAGAAGAAAAAATAATTTCTGATGAATTCTATTTCTTCTCATCTTCCCACACAGGAGGAATCAGTGCACAAATCAACAAGTAGCAGCAGCATCTCCCCCTCACAAGTGGAAGACCCCTCGCAGGAAGGTACCAGCAGAAAGAGTGAGTTTTAGAGTGCCTGCTTTCACTTAGTTCTGTTGCCTTCTGTTATTGAACTTTGACACTCTTACAGAAAGCTGAAGCTGAGTGTAAATTGAATAAATCTGAACCTTGGAACATGCTGAATAGGACAAACGTAGTAATTAGTGAGTGGAAGGCCTATACTATATGTGGACATCTTTGTGAAACAGAAAAGTCATATTTGAAACTGTCAGGGAATTGTAAAGGAAGTCAGAAGTGCATATTTCAGCTATGTTCATCTCAGAAGGGCTTGTTGCTGCAGAAACACATTCTAAACCAATGTAAAAGCCAATTTAAATATTTTCAGCACCTCTGACATCGATGAATGTACTTGTTTGAAAGACACCTAGTAATCACCAATATGTCTCACAAGCAAAGTACTTACTGTCAAGAGGGGAAAATCCGATCTTTTTGTTTCAGGCAGTTATGGTAGGCTTTACTGTACAACAGGATTTCCAGTTTCACTGGAAAGCTTTTGTAATTAAATATGTAATCTGTGCACAGTGGTGAAATAATTTGTATAAGCCAGTATTTTGGCACTCTGAATTTTTATTCAGTGATAAATGGATAGTAGCATGCCTGTATTTGCTGGTCTTACAAGTATTCCTGTTCTTTCAGTCTTGAAAATGTAATCAGTATGATACTTGTATTGAAGAGCGTGGAAGTGTAATTTGAGCCCCCAGCAGTAGGAATTCTAGGAAATCAATGACTGTTTCAGGTACTGAGCAATGTTATCCAACACTCTGTTTTACGAGAACTAATTCTTTTATGCTGGTTGAATCTTTAGCACCTCCAAAGTTCTTGCCCATATCATCTACACCACAGCCAGAGAGACGGCAGCCACCTCAGAGACGACACTCCATTGAAAAGGAAACTCCAACCAATGTCAGACAGTTTCTACCACCTTCAAAACAGAGCTCCAGATCACTTGTAAGTGGAGTGGGTGGTAGGAGAGAGAAAAAGAGGCATGCTAAGAGTATAATGAAAATTAAAACTTGGCTTCAGTGTGATTAGAACTTGACTCAAAGAAAACTCCTGAATTCAGAAACAGCCCTGGGCTACTAAAGACGTTTTGAAATCAAGATTTGAACTTTCTGATTAACCCAGAATCCCAGGTACAGATGCCTCGGAAAATATGTGCACTTTGATTAGGACTCTGGATAAAGCCATGTGCCTTGCTTTTATTTCAGAATGTTACCAAAACAGGCAAACTTTGCCTTACTGATTTTCCATTTGAATAGAGACAATTCCAAAGCTCTGGATTTTTTTAAATGCTTTTTTTATTATTTAGTTTTTGGCAGCATTTTAGTTAATGGCTGAATGAATGAAAGGGCTTCTTCTCCTTCTACTGTAAGAATTTGTGTGGTTAATGTTTATACATGCAAAAGCTCTTTCAGTAATCCAAATCAAGGTTTGTTTATGTTGCTTTGTTGAAGTCACTGAGGCAAAAAACTGTATTACTACTTGAAAAGAAAGTACAGTAAATTTGATCAATTAGCTTTAATTGAGAGCTGTTTTCCAACAGAGTATAAGAGTAACGGGTATGAAATCTTGGCTCTTTTATGCTGACCTACTGATTAGTGCTTTGTAATTTCATGCAGGATATGTTCCTCGTCTCTTTTTCCTTCCAGCAGGGTTTTGAAGTACACCCCATAAGGTGCTGGTGAATAGAGAAATCAATAAACACATCTTAGTTCTGAAAGGAAGGGAAAATTCACTCGCCCTGTATTGTAGAGCAGTGGTATTAGTGGGCTTTGAAGAGTGTTCTTGTTGTTCACCCAGGCAGTGGTGGCCAGGATCTGAATCCATTAGTTGATGATAAACTAGCAAGAAAATAATCTCTAGATATTCTCACAACATGCTTCCTCCATTTCAGAGGGTCTGCTGGATTTTGTTTATTATTATATCTTTCCACAAGAACGTGGTTTCTCATTCTTGGTGAAGGTGATGTAGTAGCATGTTGATAAACACAGCACAGGTAGACTTCTGCTGAAATGAGCCTGGAGCATAACACATTGCACCAGAATCAGATGGAGGGTTCCTTCGGTACGTGTTTGAAGATGCTCTCATATAAAATGGATCGTGAGTGCCTGCTGGATGCACTCAAGGTATGGGCAAGTACAGGACTTATTTTCTGATAGGTCCATAGTCGTTCCCATGCACACTGTTGAAAGGGAGGAGGGGAGAAGGCATTGCATGTTATACTGAGGCATTTGCTCCATCGCTTTTTTAATCCATAGAATTATGGTGCATCGTTATAATATTGATCTCATCTCATGTATTTGAAGGGATCATACAACTGAAGAATCTTAGTTATGAGGCTTTTATTTTGAACAGGGGAAACAAGTTCTCAACCTTTTTGGCCACCTATGCATTTTCATATAGATGCCTGTTTCTAGGCATATGCTCACTGACATATGCCTAGAAAAATAATATATGAAATAAAACTGCTGCCGAAAAATTAATTAAATTATTCAATTCCTGCTAAAAGTATTAAAGAAAAAGGGAGAAAAGACAGTAGTTATATCAGGGAAGCGCAGGAACACATGAGAAAGATTTTACTAATTTCTTTTCTTTTGGACTTTTTGATTTCTGGATAGCTGTGACCTAGTTCGTTTTGGCTATGGAGTGAGAGAGAAGGAAAATCAGCAGTGAAATGACGTTCCTTTAATAAGAACCTGTCCTATTTGATGCCTGGAGAGTAAATTCTCTGACTTGGCAATAGTGCCCTCTAGGGTGTGACAGACAACACCCATAGTCCTTCTGGTTTTAGTTTGATAGGTTTGTGACATGATGGCACTGTCCCTGTTACACTTGCTGGCTTCCTGCAAAGCTCTTCCTTCCCTGCAGGATGCCAGCTTGTGTCAGTGGCCATGCCAGGTGCTGTATGTCTAACCTTGCTGTTCCCTCACTGAACACTTCGCAATACCTGCAGAATATGATTTTTTTTTTTAATTTGACTTCACGCTTCTTCATCCCTTCCTCCAGGATTGATGGAGTTTCATTTCTTATCACCCGCTCCTGTGGCCGCAGTTTCTCTTCAAGGTGGAAGAGGCCTCATCAATAAATAGCTCTCCATGCCAGAGCAAACAGACAGGAGTTTGCTGCAGTCTCTTAGCAGGATTAGCAAGAAACTGGTCTGTCTTGCATACTAACTGTGGTTTTGTGAACTGGCATCTCATCAGACAGAGGGAGTTATTGCTGAGCAGGTGGGGAAGGGAAACAAACTTGGTAAAAGACCGACATCCTTTTGATGTGTCGTCTTGCCAGTGCTCCCTGGAACGCAGGTTTCTGTGGGACCAGCCTGGCGGTGTGTGTACTGCAGTGAGCTAACTTGGTGCCTAATCAGAGATGAAGCTGTGTCCTGATATGTGCATATGAATGCCTTTGTAGTTTGTTTGCTTTTTTTTCTTTTCTTTTTTTTATCAACATCATCATTATTTTTCATGACCTAGAGGACCAAAGCTAATGATTTCATTTATACACAGCATTCGCTTTTCTGCTTCCTATCTATTGTTCAGGTTCCTAGGATAAGGAGTTTATTTCCAAGGATGACTTTCAGACCACTTTTTTCAACTATGCAAACAGCTTCTCTGCTCAGCTCTCATCCCGTTGAAGCAGCCATGTGTGGGGTGGCAGGGGCTATGTACTATCTCTGTGAGAGAGCTTTTGCCAGCAGGTGGAAACCCGCAAAGGTTTGCCTCTTTTTGCTGGCTTTGGAAATCACCTACACCAGCATGTTCCCTCTCTGGGGAGCACTTCCTAAGCTGTGGCAAGAATTAAAGCTTAGGCTGGGACACTGCACCTGATTGACATTGATTTCAGTGTGTGTAGGATATTTGTGTGTCTTCAATCACTTCACGGGGAAAAGAAATCAGTTCTGAAAGGACAGCAAACTAAAAATGCAACATCACAAGATTGTCAGTGGGACAGACTTTAAACTTTACAGCACATGAAGATCCAGCAGAAAAAAAAATTAAAACAAAAAACAAAAAACAACAGCAAAACTATTGTAATGGTTGGACTATGTTGAAAAGAGTGAGCCTTTGTGTTTCTAGTGAGAAACATTCAACACCCTGTAGAATGGAATGACATTTGCAATCTGTTTCACTTGAAAACATGCAAATGGTTTTGGTCCTCCGCACAGTTTTGTATCAGAACTTAGAGAATAATTCCTAACTATTCCTAGGGAGGCAAGCCCACTAACAAGAAAAAATGATTAATTTCCCCCTATGTAAAATCAAACAATAATTGATTTTTTCTTTTGCTTGTCCCAACTAATAAGTGAGAGTGCAGTCTTCTGCAGGAGAGCTGAGACTCCCAGATGAACTTTCAGTCTGCAAAATCAATGAGACCTTAGAGTGCTTGACTAACCATGAAGTGCAGAATTTAGAGTCCAATCTAGCACATGTTCCTATTGCAATTTACTGGTGTAACTCATTTGACTGCCTGGTGACATCTTTTAATGAGAATTTTTACAAGGAATATTGTAAAAAAGATAGTCATAAGACTGATCAGGTGCATTATGCTGAGAATGACCTACAAAGCACTTTATTTCACATTATGAACATATAATCCTTACTACCTGCTTTTCCTGAGTAGAAGAAGTTACATATACACACCTTAAGTTGTTACAGTATATAAAATGACTGCACAGTCAAAGCTTTAAGCCAATTTTCATGAGGATCGTGGAAACTTCAAGTTTAAATTAGTATTTTTAAATGAGATTATTTCCTTTAAAAATAAGAATACCGACTCACCTTGAATGTTAAAATGAGTATTGACTACAATTCCAGAAAATCAAGGCCATTCAAATCACATTTTGTCTTTAGTATGTTCTGTCATATGCAGGTTGCGCAGAGAACTGTAGTTATCTCATTTTTAGCTGCCTGACTTGAGCACATCATTGCTCAAGTTTGAGTAATAACCCCAAAACATCACTGTTTAATGAAGTTTAGTCAGTGCTTAGTGTAATTTTAATTAATTTCAGTGCCTTACAGCTAGTGTCGAAACAAAAGATTTTCTTGTGTACTTATTTCTATGCCAAAAAGGGAAAAAAAATTCAAGCAGTTTTCTGAAATCAGCATAATATTTATCTTTCATTTAATGTTGCATTAACATTTTGTTGTCCTTGTGTAACCTCTGGAATTAAAACATTAGCATTTAAACATGTGAACATTTTTTTCTATGTTTCCCCTGTTGCCTGCAACTATTTCTACGTGCTGTAGCAGTAATCATTTTTGATTGGTACAGCAGACCCACACTATTCCCCTGGTAGCTGCTCTGCACCTATAGTAGATCTACAGACTGTCTTCAAAGGAGCAATACTCACTGACATCATCGTCCTATAAATTAATGGAGCGGGCGCACATGAGGGGGAAGGAAGTGCCTCCAAGTAAGAACTGTGTTTCTAAAGGACCTAAAGCTCTGATTGATGAAAAGCATTCAGCTTGCCTCATTCACCCCAGTCAGTTTCTCAGTCTCCCACGATGCAGAACTGAGGTTTTCTGCTGGCATTGTGTGCATCACGCTTTCCCACCCACTTCCTCTCCCATCTCACCCGGCCCACCGCCGTGCTTCCCTGTAGCGAGGCAGTTGCTATGGGAAGGACCAGAATGAAGTGCCAGTGGCAGCCAGTTAGCTGTGAAGTCTCATAATGAACAGAAGGCATTTTGTTTGGCTGTGCTGTGTTACACCTCAGAGCAAATTGCAGTTGTTTTTGACATAGTTTGTTCTTTCCAGAAAACTAGCACCCATACACCCCAAAGGGTTAGCTGGCAAATCTAACAAAGTTAACTCAATTCTAGTCTTTTGTGGGGTGCCTTAAACAGAGCGAAGTTTCTTTGTGTTCCCTTTCTAGATAGGTAAGACAACAATTTTTAAAAATGTGGTGGTTCCTAAATGCTAATGTTTGCCAGGTCTGCAACGTAGAAAGATTTTCTTTTTTATCTAATGGAAAGACAGAACCAAACTCTGGGTCCATGTAAGTTGAATATTTCACAATTAATCTGAACCATCTCTTCAGTGTATAAATTAGACCTCCAAACTGTCGGCCGTGTCTTTGTGTTTGCAGGAAAAATTTCCTTCCATTATTCAAAGAGCATTGGATGTCATTGTCATTACCACACAGCAGCCCCTGTGAGCTCGCTGAAAGGGTTCACTAAGCATAAGGCGATGGGAATTCCCACAGAGGTTTCTGTCTTTCTGTTGGAGCTGTATAATCAACTACAGGGCTGGATTACAAATTGGGTTGGTGCTTTTATTCTTTGGTACCAAATTCAGGAGTTCTCTACTCAATATTCTCCATCACGATGTAATACAGAACGTACAGAAACTGTGTTGGTGGGAAATTGTTGGGTCATTCTCTATTTCATTCTTTGCCGTCTGTAATCCAACACTGGGTAGCCAGTTCTCTATTTGAAGGTTACCCTGTAAAGCTTAAATTGCCGCTGTTGCTTTCTGGTGGCAGAAAGGAGAGCCTGTCTGTCTGGATTGCCTTAGCTTTTTGTTGTTAGATCACATGAACGCCAAGATGTGGTACCACTGAATAAAAAATTCTGCTAGAATGGGCTACTACTGACTTTCCTCGGCCATTGTGGGCACCACAAAGTGTCAAAGAAATCATGTGTTCTTAAGAATACTTGAAAGTAAAACCATGTGCCAAATTACCTTTCTGCTTTCTAATTATAAACCTGAATGTCAATTAAAATCAGTATTTGTAGTGAAAGACAAATGGAGAGAAGATCCAAATGGCTTGAGGAGGGAGAATGAACAAAGCGCATTGTGGAGGCTGAACATCGGACCACTGAGATTGCATGGTTTCAGATGATTTGAAACTCATGTGATGCCCATGAATGAGCCAATGCTATTGAGGGGAGAAACTCCTTTTCTGGAGTTACTAACCAGGTGGTTGGTTGTCTAGGTTGAAATGTAGAAGAAGCAATTTGGCTTTGAAGTAACATGGATTTTTGGCTTCCAGGAGGAGTTTTGTTACCCAGTGGAGTGTCTGGCTCTGACGGTGGAGGAAGTCATGCACATCCGTCAGGTGCTGGTGAAGGCAGAGCTGGAAAAGTACCAGCAGTATAAAGATGTGTACACTGCTCTGAAGAAAGGAAAGGTATGGCTGAGCCCAGGGAGGCCGCAAGCGGGAAGTTGGTTGCACAGACCTCTGTTTACATCTTCAAGCTGGTGGGAAGCTGGAAGCAGGCATCAGAGTTTGCAAAAATTGAGATTGTAAAATCATAGAATCATCAATTGGCCTGGGTTGAAAAGGACCACAATGATCATCTAGTTTCAACCCCCCTATTTGTTTCTTACCCTGTATTGAAGAAGACAGACCACCAAACTTCCCCTTGAATTTATTACACGTGGGTTAGCTTGTGTTGAATTAGATACATAAACATAAAAACTTTATACAGAAATACCTTCCTTATACCTTCTATAGAAAGGCAGCAGTGTTTGTGGTAATCAGAACATATCTGTATATTTATGTTTTAAATTTCAATAAGGTCTTTTCTGCCCACATGTTCTGCAGTATTACTCAGCATTTCTATTCCAAAAAATAGAATTACAGCTAGCAGTAGGTAATTACAAGAGGTTTTTTATAAGTAGCCTATTTTCCCCTATATCAACTGAATCTTCCTTTCTGCACTTAATTCCCATTTCTAGAGTAGGAACATTTGTAGTCTCTGTGACCCAGTAGCAAGTTTTCTCACCTTATGAAAGCTCCTAGTGTCTGGTTAAAGTCTGGGCCATACTCTGCTTGGTTGGAGGTTTGCCTGGCCTGTGCCTGGCTTCTGTCTCCAGCTGTTAAGTGGTGCACCTGGTGTGATTTCTCCTGTTGCTTTGAGGTATTTCTTCAGGCTCCACCCTTCCTGTGCAGTGCATCTTGTGAGCAGCGTCCTGCGCTAACCAGCAGTTTGAGCTTTGCTGTGGCATTTGTAAGTTAGAAATAAAGCACGCTAGAGAACTGCAAGTACTTGAAAACCAGAACAATCCTAAACATGAAATATTGGAGGACCCATTAACTAACATTTTTTTTCCTGTGAATTGCGGATTGGGGATTGGTATTTACCAGTGGAAGCAATGTCTTTTCTCTTTCTTTTGACTTGTGCTTCTCAAACGCCTCCAGTAAACATATTTTGACTGCATAATGTATTTTAACTCCAGGCTGTGATTAATATGCTGATGTAAAGATTTGATTGATTTAAGGCAGAAGAACCAAAATCTGAAGACTTCAATTAGCTGTGGATTCAGCTGTTGCATATTGTCATGCAACATAAAGCGTAGTAATGAGCTTTTATCAGATCTCATAGTGAGTTGGTGCTTTAATTTACCCCACTATTAAAATTGTTCCTTTTTATTTTTAATCAGATTTGTGTAGCCTCACATCCCTGTCTTTGGATCCCATTGTGTCATCTGTATGACAAAAAAAGCTTTTCCTTGTTCAATGCCCCTTCTTCATATAAATGTTCATAACCTATGATGCCTGGCTCCTTTCAATGAACCAAACAGGTTTTCCTCAAGTGAGGCAGCTGTAGTAGCTCATTCCTGGACCTTCTCTGGTGTTCAGGAACATAGGATTGGAAGAGAATCATCAAATCTTATCACAGGCAACCACTTAATATTCCAGAACCCAGCACAGATGATTAGGAACAAGAGCATTTAAAAGTCAAAAGCATATTTTAAAAGAATATTTCTTAATATATGAAGATACAGTTCTTTTCTATATCCTCTTGGAAGCATGAACTTGTGCGGAACTTGTCTAACATGGGAACTTCTCTGTTCTTCTTTCAGCTCTGCTTTTGCTGTCGGACAAGAAGGTTTTCTTTCTTTACCTGGTCTTACACCTGTCAGTTCTGTAAAAGGTAAATACTTAGTATCTGTTAATAAATAAGTACTATCACAGTATGAAAAACTTGGAGTTGTACCTTAGATCACCCCAAATGCTGCATAGTGTTGATTGTTTTCATTTAACAGTCCAGGTTTAAAAACAAATATTGTAAGTATGCTAAAATGGATCTTTTGTAAGTGATGTGCTCCCTTGGACTGAAAGACTCTTTATCAGGGTCTGTTGTGATAGGGGAATGGTTTCGAACTTAAAGAAGAGAGATTTAGGTTGGATATAAGGAAAGATTTACAATGAAGGTGATCATAAGACCAACATGTAGACACTCAAGGCTGGGCTGGATGGGGCTCTGAGCAACCTGATGTAGCTGCAGGTGTCGCGTTTCATTGCAGGGCAGTTGGACTAGCTGGCCTTTAAGGGTCCCTTCCAATTCTGAGGATTCTCTGATTTTTGATCAAAAGTAAAAGAAACATTAATTTCCCCCTTTTTTCCCCCTTTTTCTTTTTGTAGCTGTAGTTCTTGTTTAGTATTCCTCTTCACTTTTGGCTTCATGTTCTGATTAAGTTTTTATATTGATGAAACATTAAAACAAAAGTGTTTGGGTAAGGAGTTGGGGTATTTATCCCTTATTTTTGATGTCATTAAGGCATAGCCCAGTTAAATGACTCAGGCTTTCATTTTCTTACACAGGCCTGTATGCTCACAGTGCTGCAAAAAGGTAAGTAAACACATTTCTGATTCACTCCTTTCTGAAAAGCTGTCATCTTTGGAAATGATACTGCATCTTTCTTATATCACGTGTTCCTTCTGTGCTCAACAGATGCGATTGCCATCAAAGCCATATTCCACTCTCCCCATCTTCTCACTGGGACCTTCCACCTTGCAGCGAGGAGAGAGCTTCATGAGGCCAGAGAAGCCCTCCACCAGCCACCACCGGTCACTGCGGAGCATGCCCAGGTGAGAAGCAACTGCGGTCACCTGTGTGCACTGGAAATGCCTCTTGGAGTTACAAACTCCAGTGCCAGGACTGGAGCAAACTGGAACATAGGAGGTTCCCTCTGAACACCAGGAGCACTTCTGTGCTGTGCAGGTGACGGAGCACTGGTACAGGCTACCCAGAGGCTGAGGAGTCTTCTCCTTGGAGGTCTCCAGAAGCTGCCTGGCCGTGGGCCTGGGCACACTGCCCAACTTCACACAAACTTCCAGCTGGTGACTCGGCAGTCTTGCTGAGCCAGGTGTCATTTTTGGGATAGGAGGAAACAGAAAGGTTTTGAATCCAGTTGTTTTTTGCTGTTTTCTGAAGGCGCCCCGGAGTGCCCTCTGCAATGCTGCTGCATATTGAGACCAGTCCTGCTGTTTTGCTTTTCAGGTTGGCCTCAAGGTCCAAATCTGTGGATAAGTCACACGAAGAGCTGCAGTTTCCCAAAGAGTTAATGGAGGACTGGAGCACGATGGAGGTGTGTGTGGACTGCAAGAAGTTCATTTCAGAAATCATCAATTCAAGCCGGCGCAGCCTGTCCCTGGCCAACAAGCGAGCCAGGTTAAAAAGGAAGACACAGTCCTTCTATATGTCATCTCCAGGAACCTCTGACTACCGCCCCTCTGAGAGAACTATCAATGAGATCTGAGCCTTGTGCCTTTTTCTTTGCTTTTGTCTTCATGAGGTCATCGTCTGCAGGAGAGGTCACCAAAACAGGGTTATTCTTCCGTTGCTTCATTTCACTCAACTGGCTTGGATCTGCATTCAGTCACAGAGTTTCTTACCGCCATGTTTTCCAGAGATGCAGAAGCTGTTTTTATCAGGACAGAATGACATGCAGCAGGTCAGCTGCTCGCACTGGGAGAAAATCAACAATTTGCAATCCTTGCCTCTTTTGTATGCGTGCATTGAAACTAGAAAGCTTTTTCTTGCTTTCGGTCTTTTTTTTTTAACCATTCTTTGAATCATTTTCTGGAGTTGAGCTAAAATGTGTGCTTAACGGAGAACCTGATCTAACAAAGTCAGTGCTAGTGCAGTAGCAAGCAGTAAGTCATATTGGCATTACCAAGCTAGCAATGTTCACATCCTGCTTTCAGAGCTCACCAGGCACTGGTGTGAGTGGCTGTGCTCCGAGCAGTCCTTCTTTGAACCATTTCTGTTGCTCCGAGGTCAGAGTCCAACATGGGACTGCGGTGTCTGGGCCCTGGGGCAGAAGGTGTGACAGAGCTGCTCATCGTGGGGCTGCTGCTCTTTGAGGCCTCAGTGCTGCCCTGGGTGTCTCTGGGCAGGCTCCAGGGGTGTACTGCCTACTTGAATGTATGATGCCAGGTACTGGTGGTAGTGAATTCTGGTGGTAGGCAGAGCTGTACAGCAGATGGGAAGGATGGGAAGCAAGAGAGGCTCCTGGTGCTACTGGAGCACCTGTAGCATTGTTCCTTGGGTCGCTCAGGGGACAGAAGGGTAGATGTGTGCATCTTAGCAGGCACAAATTCCACTATGGCTCTGCTGGCAGTGTGCCCACTGAGAGCCCCATTTTTGCTGGGGACGTAAGTTGGTTGCAGGGACCCATGTTTTGCTGAGATTTTGGGCGACGCTGTCCCAGATTGGGAGCAATCTCTCATTTCCCCTCCTTGATTCATTCTTTTTCCTTCTTTGCTTTGCCCATGGAAGAACACCAGGCCACTGGGTGAGATGTTCCAACAAGGCTACACTGTTAGCTGACACTATCACATGCTTTTTTGCACTTTTTCTTTCTTTCTTTCTTTTTTTTTTTTTTTAAGTTGAAATACTTTTTTTTTAATGCAGGCTTGACCAGAGTTTAATCTATAATTTGCATCTGGATCATTCTGGTGTTTAAAACTAACATAGTCAAGTTGTTAATACTTGAAAATCAACTACTGTAACTTTTTCATACATTTTTTAATACCCTGAGGCATATTTAATATCTCTATAGCAGTGTATTATAGGAGGACATAGCAGAAAAGTTTCAGATCTATTTATTAACATTTCTACACTAAGGATTAATCATGAGTGATACCTCAGAGCTGCACGGAGCAGCGGGGCTGGATCTGCCCTGTGGATTCCAGCGATGTGTCCGTCCCACACGGACCTCATGCTGGCAGAGCCTGGGGAGGGCCTGCACCACCATCTGTACCATATGTACGTTGATTTGAAAAGCACACAAAAAGGCTCCCTACACCTCTGCACAGACTCACCCACCCGTATTTTTCTTTCATTGTCACCCTGGGAAATGAGAGTTTTGCAGATGGAGAGCAGTGGCATGAGGTGAGCCATGGGCAGGCAGGCAGGAGGCCAGGGCTGCCTAAAGCCACTGCTGCTAGGAGGGCCCCTCATCTCAGTCACATCTGCACTTTTTCTCATTCCTGTGCCAAAAGCAGGCCCCGTATTCGCTGCATTGTGCATCAGGAAAACTAGGCTGAGAGTGAACGCATGAACTCTCGCTCTGAATTTCCCCTGCTGCTATTCTGATCATTTTCTCCTGGAAATGCCCTGGCCACACGCTCTGCTTGCTCCAACTCCACTCCCCCTTGGCACCAGAGGCTGCTCAGGGCTGGGTGCCCCGCATGCCCTTTTCCCCTTTTACACGGCGTGGGGCAGCAGAGCTGGCAGCCACCAGGCCTCAACCCCCCCCCCCCCAGCACCGGCCCTGGGCACCGCACAGCTTCTGTGGGCCCAGCACCATGTTGGTATTGGGGTGAAGCTTGTAAATATGTGTAATATATTTATTGATATTTAGGAAGTCTCCATCAGTCATGCAACGGGAATTAACTTTCCACAAAGTTTAAAAACAAAAACTATTTATACACGTGTTGGCTGTTACCTTCGTTAGAGTTAATGCTTTCAGCCCCTCCGACAGTCTGCGCTCTGTAGGCATTTTAGAGTGAATTACTGCTGAGTGTGGGGCAGCACAGTCAGCTCCTCCCAGCAGCTTTTAAAATCTTATTTTTGTAGCTTTGTTACGATGCCCGATGTCTGAACGTACCATGGGGGCCCTCGGAGCTGAATGGCACACAGCTGTGCAGCACTGGGGCTGGTGCTGCCGCTGCTGCGATGGCGAGCGGGGCTTGGCTGCGGTGCTCCCATGCACTACGCCTGACCTTGCAAATGCTCTTGTGACCATGTCATTTCTGGGGACGGTTGGTGGGCTTATTTCTCTTTTCCCCGTTATTTCCTTTATAGTGGGAGGGGTGGTACTGGGTGAAAATAAAATGCCTTTCCATTACAGTCTTTGTCTGTGCTAATTCTTCATGAGGGAGCAAATGTCAAAGTTTCTGTCTTCTTTGTTGTACTTTACAGTTTTGTGAAGAACAGGTAGCCTTTTCCTCAGGCAAGGGCTTCTTGATGAAAACAGCTGAACGCCATTGGAACAGCGGCTGGGAACTAGGGGAAAACGCTTGATGGCCCATGAGAACAGCACTGACTGCCCATGCAGCCCGGCAACAGGGCAAGTCGCAGCCAGTCACTGCACATGACACCTCCCTGTGTTACTGCTCACTGAGGCAGCCAGCAGATGCAATCAAAGTGCAGACAGAGGGCAACCACACACCGCTGAGCAGTGAGACAGTGGCTCCCTCTGAGCTCTAGGAAGCCACAGCCTTGTCCAAGCGTTCCTGAGCACGGAATAACTGATGGTATTTCTGAAGACAGCTCTGAACACTGACAGCCTGTTTTGTATTGCAGGAGTACATCCAGAAGGTATAACCGAGGCTGTCATTTATTTTAGATAGATAGAGAGTACCATGGCATACAGAGAAACGTAGCAGACTCCTGGCCGTCATAGCTCACTATCTAAGGAGATATAAAATGGTAACGGTGCCACCGACTGCTCCACTTGGGGATATCAGTCACAGGTGTACAAGGACAAGATATGAAATCCCAAAAGATTTTTGCCCCAAAAGGTAAATTCCATCAGTGATGGAACAGGAGTGTGAAGCAGCATGCTTTAGAACCAGCTCTGTAGAGTTGGGCTGAACCCAGAGCTACCAACCCACTAGAGCCCAGGGACAGGACTTCCATGGTCAGGGCAGAAGTGGAAGCTCTGTATGCAAATCTCAATGAGCCAGAAAGCAGAAGAGTAAAACTCTCCACAGAAGCTTACAGAAAATTAAGAATCACTTCATCTGCTACACACAAATCCCACCTGTACACACTGCCAGCACCAGCAGTCACAAGGAGAACAAGCCCAGGGCTGCAGGAGCATTACACACCCCAAAGATGATGTGAGAAACAGCAGTGCCCTCCCGGCTGCGGAAAGGCTGCCAGGAGCTAGAATTGACCTCTGGGAGAAAGCAGTCTCCTTCCTCCCCAAAGGGGCTGCCCTCTTCCTTTCAGCTCAGAGTTCAAGACAAGGTGCTGACCCGTGCCAAGGGGGGGGCAGCAGAGAAGGAAACACCAAGCACTTCTCTGTCTAGATCCTGTAGCATGACGTGGAGAGAAATCAGCCCCAAACCTACACAGGGAAAGGAAACAGAAAGGATATGCTGCTACACAAGAGAGTAAAGATTTGCTCTGGAAGAAGGAAGCAAAGCGTGAGGAAAGAAATTGATCAAACTGATGCACAGCTGGTACTGATCCAAAAAGCACAGCAGCCAAGTTTGGCTCTGGGGACAACAAAAGTGTTTGCAATGACTCCTCTGAGATGGCAGATAGTGCTGGGAGGTGCCATACGCAAATCATTTATATTTAAAACAACACTGAGCAGGTCTGGTGTAAGAAGCAGCTTTAGATAATTCTTCCTCTGAACTAAATCAATACTTGAACCTCAAAAAAACTTTTCTGTTGCCTCACAGTTGAGGCTTCATCATCTCCCATAAGCACTATGGGAATGCTGCAGATCAGGTTTACACACACACACAGTCATTTCCTGTTCTGCTCAGAACTCTGCCATCACCGCTCTGCCCTTCCTACCAGAGGTCAGTGGGTGCTGGGACAGCTCCTGCAGTCCTTACACAGGAAGCAGCACCACTCCCCTGAGATGTGCCACAGCAACAGTGAGCACCAAAGCCATCCACAGTGCATCACAGGAAGGAGCTGCTACCAGGTCAGGGTCTAATATCCTGTGCCCTCTTGAGAAAAGCCTGAGGTCCACAGAAGAAGAGCAATGCAAACATTAGCTACTCAAATAATTGCTAATAATGTAAATTAAGTCTCTTTATTAGAACCATGTCATTTACCTAGACTATACCTACATCCGAATTAATGTTCACTTTCAAGCTAAACAGAATACAAACTCGGAGATTTCCCTTAAGTACACAGATGTTTTAAATTACCAGATCCAAACAGTGACCAACATTTCTTTTTTTTTTTTTTTTTTTAAGAAGCTCCTCATGCTCTCACAGCTCCCTGAACACATGCTTGTTACCTGAGCAAGCAAACAACTTTGCAACATTTATCTATCTCAGTCTGTGTGTGCACAAAAAAAACCACAATGTAAAATGCTCCAACAGAGGGCTATGTAAGAAACACCAGCTACTCCCAGACCAAGTACAAAAGTCTTGTGAACCTCAGACAAAAGCTGGAACTGCCTATTTTCAAAGAGGCAATCTCCACAATTAGAATCAGAATTAGACAATCAGAATTAGAATCAGACAATCAGAAGCATTTAAAACATTTCTAAAAACATTTGTACCAACGTGGCAAAGTGTTGAAAAAATGCATTACAGCAGAAGTCAGTCGTTTGTAGAAAGCGTTCGAAAAGGAGAGCCCAGTTCTTCTTGTGCTCTGTTCTTCCCCTCTGGAGCACAAAAAACACACAGTGATGAAGCACTGCCGCTTGGACTTCAAAGTTCTCATTTGAGCTCTTCATTTCTTGCAGACAGCTCTCCCTCAGCTCAGAGATTGCAGGAAGAGCAAGAAGCAGAGAACAGCAGAGCCTCTTTGTTCCAGCAGCCTGCAAGCACCCTCTTGCAGATAAATAACCCATGTGTTCCCCAGCTCCTCCCCCTCCTGTTCTGTTACTGAGGGGAAGAACTTGGGAAAGTTAATAAATATGAAAATAAATTACACCCTTCTCCCCACAAAGTAAGAAAAAAGAAAAAGCCTGTTTAGGCAGATAACATCAATAGAAACTCTCTTTGGATATAAACACCTAAGAAGTAAAGCATCTGTGTGTCACGTTCAGATAGCACATTAAGTAACATAACAAGAGTCAGTGCAACACAAGTTTCAGCTGTTGGGGATGATTCTCTAGATAGGCATCTTTAATTCTAGAGTATCGTGCTCTGTTTCACGTAGTTCCCTTTAAATGGTTTTAAGAGTACAAAATGGACAAAATTTAGTGCTCTCAGCTCTTCACAGAACTAATGCTCATTTGGAGAACATGAGTTCTTTCCAAGTTTGAGTATGAAAAAGATGGTATAAAATATAACACACTCTCAATCTTTGTTACAAAAGGCACATTTAGGCAGATTTAAATGTGCTGAACGTTTTGTTATCAATGTTGAAAAGAAATCGTTTCAGTGAAAAGAGCATCTGCAGGAGGTCAGTGTAATCTGCAGTAGGTGAAGGGAGATGAAAGATCAGGTTACCTTCCTGCTGATCCAATATTCTTATAAATATATAAAACATACGCAGATGAGCCTTGGAAGGGCCATCGAGACAGCAGTCTGCAGAATGAAATGTTTCAATCAGTTACTCGCTGTGTTTTTGGCTACTATTTCTCTGTGGATGCTGCTGCCATGGCTGGTTTTATGCCCTCACGCGTTGACTTCAGCTCTTCCAGTTCTGCGTTCAGTTTGCTGATCACCCACTCCAGGGCATCCCGGCCCTGCCAAGGAAATAGCAGAGTTCAGGATCAGAGCAAATAGCGCACCACTGCTCATGTTTATAGTTTTTCCTCTGTCAGACATAAGACTAGTTTTAAAATTCCCCATCCTCTGTGGTTTGAAACGGGATTGTACTGATTATTTCTCATCTTACTGAAACTTTGCTACAAAGGCATTTGAGTAATTCATATGCAGGAGGTAAATGCAATACTGGTGTGAGCTCACAGCAGTGCTCCCATGCAAAAAGCCTCACTCAGCTGTTCAGTTCCTGGAAGAAAGAGAACTCCTATTTCTACTGTCTGCTGCTCCCACCACCTTAAGAGGACCAGTACATTTGTGGAAGAGTCTGCATATTGTTCTCATACTCATTAATAGAGCTGCATATGGACAGTTGTTGAGAAAATCCAGGACAAAGAAAGATAGCCTTCGAGTGCTCATTGAAATAGCAATAAATTGATTTGAACTCGAGCTAGAGTTTGAAGAGATGGCCTTGCACTGAGCTCCGCTAAGCAGCATAAAGCAAGCTGATGCAGAGACCACAGCTGCATCTTTCCTATCAAGGGACATTCAGCTCTCAGAATGGGTAGGGCACACCTCAAAGCCTGGCACTGATAGCCCACGTTTCAGTACAAGCAGTAGAATTCAGCAGAATAAGCACATCAAAAGTCTTTTGCCTTCAGAAGACCCTCTAGCAGCTGCACCTCAAGATGAGCATGCAGCCACACAATTAAGAAAGTAGGGAACCATCTCAACCAGCTGAGCACTGAGCTTATGTGGCAGGGTTTTGGTATCAGGGAGCTGCAGGGATGGCCTCTGTGCAGAGCCCAGCAGCTGCCTTCTGTCAGAGTAGTGCCAGCTCCAGCTGTCCCTAAGGGGACCTGCTGTTGGCCAGAGCTGAGACATGAGCAACACTGGCTTGGTTTTAGTTTCTCACTCTTCTCGTCTATTAGTAATAGGCAATCAATTACATTAATCTCCATACATTGAATCTGTTTTGCCTTCAACAGTAATTGGTGAGCAATGTCCCTGTCCTTATCTCAGCCCTTGAGCCTTTTTCACCATATTTTCTCCCTTTCTTCCTTTGAGGAGTGATAGAATATTATGCTGGAGTTCAGCTGCACATCTTGGTGAAACCACCACGCTAAGTCCAAGTGGAAGACCTTGGAGTTCCACAGTCTCCAGATGACAGCTTTTGCCAAAACAAGCAGATGGGATCAGCCCGAGAAAACATGAAGGCTTTTTTTTTTTTTCCTAAAGAGAAGCCAAGATACCTTTATCATTCATACTTTACTAAGAGTAGGGAGTAGAAAGCATAGCAAGTAGCTGGCACCCTCTCAAGTCTAATCTGAAGCAAAGGCTCTGAGCCCAAAGAGTCTTCAAAAGTACAGGTGCTCTAGGCTCCTGCTGGAACTGAGGAAAAGGGGTGAACCTCCTCTCCCCTCACAGAGTTTTGCTCTCAACTCTGATATACTGTTTTTATTGCATGCAGGATAGGTGATACGGTGAACAAAAGCTTAATAACATGCCCAGAGCCAATTTCTTGTGTCCCTTCCAAACCACTAAGCATGAGTGAGAATCTGCACAAATAACCTTGAAAACCTCCCAAAAAAAGAAAAAGTCAGAACAAAGCCTACATACATTCTTGTGAAAATGCTTTATGACACCAGAAATGTTATCCTGGAATAATACTGAAAGCCCAGGTTCAGGGTGCAAGTTCTAATATAATAAATGAAATATAATTTTACTATGAATAAGAGTATATTTGTCTCAACAGTCTCATCAAGCTGAGTCAAAGGCTAACTCTGGTTTTCTTCAGGTTCTTTGTATCACAGAGACTAACAGAACGAACACAAAGTCCTTACACAGAGAAAAGCCTTACCCACCTACCAAGTGTGCAACCCTTGGCCAGCGCTTTAAACTGTCCAGTATGGCTTCCTTAGAAGAGTACGAGTTATTTTGTGAGCTTTTTTGCCCGTGCACCAAACTGACCATCCCTCAGCAAGTGAATACTTGAACCATTTCTATAGCCTGTGCAAGAGCTGGGAATAGCAGCACAGCATGTGTAGCAACACCCAGACAAAAGCAGGCTACTGTGCAGCAACAAGCTGTAACTAGCCATGAGGGAGCTGAACCCAGTGCTCCCCCAGGAAGAAAGGTGGGGTGAAGGGAAGGGATCTACTTCCTGCAAGCATATGTTGGGTATTTAGAAGTCAGGTTAAAACGCCCTCTCTTAGATGACACGCTGGCACAGAGAACTCCCTAAGACAGCAATGACTTACACTGATGTAATCAGGCAAAGAAAGCTTGTCAGAAAGTCAAACAGCTTTGATGTAGATAGAAAATGCTCAATACAAAAATTCTGAGGTTCTTCTCAGTCCCTGACAATGAACCAATCCAATTATGTAAATAAATATATTAACCAAAATGCTAAGACAAAATTAAATGTTCAACTAGAATACCAAGATATTTCCTTCCACTTTTGAGACTATCTAGGTCTGTATATTCTTCCTATGCTACATGCTATAATTTGAAGCTAAGAAAAAACTTGTGATATCAGCAAGGAAAACTCCAGAAGGATTCTACATGCGAAATGCAATTACAAATCTTAACAAGACGTAAAGCCTCCAAACACTGTAGAACTACCCAGTTTAAAATGAAAACTAAGAAATCTGACAGAGGATTGTTCTATAAAGTTTCATATTGTACAACAATATCTGTAGTAAGTAGCTCATTAAGCAAGCACATTCATAACCAAGCATGCATACTCGTTTTCATTGCATGTGTTAGCAGTGTGATGGGTTCAGTAGACCAGATGCTGCAGGTGTAGATTTGTTTCAAGTGACTGATAAATGCTGAGCCCGTGGTTGACATTTTCTAGAGAAACAGCCATAAAAGCTTAGTGGAATGAGAACACAAAAGCAAGCACTCATTACATACACTGATCTCAAAGTAAGCAGTAAAAAAAATCCCTATGTTGTTAACAAAGAGAAGCAACAGAATGGATTTTTCTAAAAAAAAGGAATTTTATTAGTTGAAATAGAAGCTAATACAGGAATGACAGAGACAGGCTTCACTGGCTAGTGGAAAGAAAACCATCCACAGAGGTATCAGAAGCAACTATACTCTGTCCTCCCAGCCTTGAAGTCAGCTTTTGTCATAGTCGCATAGCTGAGGGGACACATCACTACCAAAAAGAAGACAACTAACAATAGCAATGAAAAGCACCACGGGAATCTGGTATTCTGCCAGCTGCAAACACTGTTCAGATTTCCATGGAAACTGGCAGAAGGGCAACAATATTCCTGAGACGTAAAAAAAGCAAATCCAATTTCACTATGTAGAAGATCACCCTCGCTAGGCAATCTGTTTTAAGAAATCAGTGTTATCAATTTCTGCTTCATTTTTGTGACGCCAATTCCAGTCACTGAACGATGGATTAATTCCTTCAGGTACCTGTTTCACACACTGAAATCACAGGGAGCGAAACCCAAACCAATGTTTGGTAGAAGAGCTCCCTGATGTGCCTAGCTAGCTGTAGCAACGCTTCCACTTGCAGCTGAAGCAGAGGCTGTGGCTGCAGCAGGTTTGCTGCCCACTGACCTATGTCTGACCTACTCCCTAACGAACACGTTTGCCATTCCTGTACGTAACATATATAAAACATACATGCAGGTTAATTCAGGACATTCACATCACGACAACTCATGCACACATCTGCTAGAGAGCTGAAATGCTGTACCAAGAAGAATGCTGACATTACCACTAGTTAGTACAAACTGTAGGTGTGGAGAACTGCTAGCTTAGAGCGCTTTCAGAATTTTGAATTATCCACTCAATAGCATCCCACCCCTGGAGTAACACAGAAAAGATTCACAACATGTGGCAAAAGATTTGTTCATTATCAGTGCAACAGTAACGCATCATCTGCCTCATTCCCATCTCTACCTCAGAGCAACATCTCAATATTTATCTCTACACTTTCTTATTTCTTAAGAACAACAGTACATTTTTCAGCATCTGTCATGAAGCTGTAGAAAGGTGCTAAGAATACAGAAGCGTAGCACTGCATGCTAGAAGAGCCAGTGATAGCAGGCTATGCTACTGGGTAGCAATGACAGGGTTGCGACTACTAACTCCTGCTAAGGTCTAAAGAGACTCTTCAGTGAAACGGGCAGGACAAGGTGATCTTTTTTGTTTGTAAGAACCTCGTGAGCCAGTTTGTTATCTGAAAATGGCAGAAGAGAAGAACTTCCACTAAAAAAAATTCAGCTTTCACACAGGTGGCACATAATACATAACATTAAATACTCCTTCTCTCAATTCAATAGAGCTAAGCAGATTTGACAGATGAGAGGAGTGCTTTTAAGCATGCCCACTTGACATGGCCACTCCAACTAGGTAGTGCTGTGCTAGACTGCAGTTACGAGCCAGGGTCCAGACTACCATTGCAAGATCAGAACAAATGCTCACACAGACTTTTATGAGGAAAACTGAACGGAAGAGGACTGTAATTTAACCAGAACACACTTCATTTATGACTGTCAAACACAGAGAGTACTCAATGTTACTCATCGGTGTCTAAAAATTGTCTGTCACTCATCCCCCAGTTTTCACCTGTTTTCCTCTGAAGTTTATAGAAGCACATGGAAGGGGCTTCCTCTTCCCTGACCTAGTAGGTTCATGACTTCAGTCATGCTGGGTTACACTGCCTTCATCAAGCAGCATCTCTGCCAGGGGCAAAGGGCTGGCCAAAGCACAGGATCTGTGGCCTAAAAGAAGTTGCCTGGGCCAAATTCTCAGTGTGCTGAGTCTCTCCCAGCAATGCAGAGCATATGCTCACACTTCAGTGGCACACATCCTGGCGCTAGGCAGTGATGCCTATACATCTCCATTTACTCCACTTCCTTCCCACCTCTCAACCTCCCCCAAAGAAGCACAGAACAAACTGTTTGGAAATAAGCAGCCTTGAAACTCTGCCTGTGCTGAAGTTCAGCTCTGTGGCTGCAAGCCAAATAGAAAAGGCAAGCGCGAGACAGAGGAGTGGGTGTAGTGTTACCTACAAAGGCCTCTGCAGACATGGCATTATTTTCAGCCAAAGGCAAAGAGACAGCTTAATAATAGATAGGAACTGGAGCAACTCACAGAGAAGCCCAGAAAATATGCTGGCATCAACTGCTAAACCCAGATCTAAAAGGCGGAAAAGGAAGCTACATCCATCCACTACCAGCACTAACTCCAGTAAATGGCTAGTGTTTAAAAATGTACTTCGAAAAACCAAGACAAAACAAACTTAATAATATGTGTCTGGGATGTGTAGCTGTGGCATGCACACATAGAGGTTGGTTTGTTCTGGTGTTCTAGGTGGAGAATAAAAATTTAGGAGTGAAACCTTCTCATCCTTTGGTAAACTATCTTCTACTTCCTGAGGTACTAAAAAAGTGAGTTGGAATTCTGTGCACAAAGTTTAAAGAAATGAAATATAGTACTCAGCACACATGCTTGACAATTACTATTTTCACAAAAGGAAAGGTGTGGGTGGAGAGAGAGAGAAGAAACTGAAGGATATGTACCTTTCTGGCATTAGAAGATATTGTGTTTGCCATTAAGCTTTCCAAATAACTGCTCAAGCTAATGCCTTTGACAGTAATAACTGCTTCTTGAGTTAGCACAGTTCTGTAAGAGAATAAAGAGAAGTTAATACTTACACTGAATTTGCCTACCATATTTTTTCCAATACACAAAAAAGCATACAAATACCCTTACTTACTTTTCAGGGTTTTCAGGATGAGGTGTGTAAACCAGTCTCTCATCAACAGACACCAAGTTTGTAAGGGTAATCTTAAAGAGAAAAAAAATATGTGAAATTCTCACATATCATCCTTCACTTTTGTATTACTGACAGCACTGTTAAGTAGCAGAGCACTCAATTTAAAGGCAAAGACAAAGCAGCAGATGCAGAGCATAAAACCCAGAACACAGTTGATAAAAAGACGTATGAAGGGTGATGCATACTGTCCTATCATAGATGTAATTGTATCAAAGTTCCTATTAACAGCAAACTGCACAAAAGCTTTCCATTTGCTCTCTTTTAAATGTCAAACCATATCTCATTTATGGCATGCAATTCAGAAAGGCTCTTTAAGACCAAGACCACTATGACATTATTCTGCGTGTACCAACAATTAATAGCAAGGAAAGCAAACACCTTTCATGCAAAGACAAGGCTCTCTCCCATACAGACAACTCTACTTCAAATCTCAGAGTTGCAAGTTCCCAGGATAGCAAAACACAGCATAATACTTCCTTTACACTCGTGGAGAAAAAGGCATTTCAAACAGTTGCAAACAGTAGTATAAAGCAGAACATGTTATTTGCTTTAAAGTTGAAACATTATGTGCATCCTGAGAAAGTCTTATACTAAGAGAGTCACAAATCCTTGACTCAAAAGAATTCCTGGGAAGAAGGAAAAAAAAATAAAGGCACTTGGAAATTGCCTCCTTCTGTTGAAAGATGTAAACTCACTGCCACACTGTTAAGAGACAAAATATCTAATCTCCATCACTAATTACCAGAAGCTTCTTAAGCTGTCACTCACATTAGTTGAGCAAAGCTCCATCTTTTTTTCCACTGGATCCACCACAGAATGTTCCTCAATGTAAGTCAGAGTTCTACTTGTTCCTAAAATCTGAAAGTGAAGAAAGACAAAAAATAAAAAAAAATAATTGAAAAGTGAAGTACAATTCACAAACACAAAACCACTGCTATCTGTGGCAAGACTACCAGGTGCTGTGTTGCATCAGCGACACAGAGTGACGCAGACCAGCTCAGAAGGCATGCACAGACAGGCCGCATATTGCAGCCTACCATGCGTTCTTGCTATGCACCACACTGATCACAGCTTACGTGATATTTGTGGATGGCGTTCCCAAAAAATCAAGTTTTTACTTGGAATTCAGTGCCAGTTCACATGACGACACACAAATGCATCACACCCTCAGCAAACCATACCGCTTTTACAATACTTGGCAATCCCCACTCTGTGCTGAGCAGACGGTGGCTGTGCAGCCTCCCCCGGTTGTCAAGGCTTCTGTCGAGGACATCTACTCCTACTACACATGGGTTCATTGGGTTGGGGTACTTTCTCATAGCAGCTTTGATCACTGTATCCCAGGGGTGCCTGGAGAAAGAAGAGACAATCATTTATGACTAGTTTGGATTTATTTGCAAGCATTTGGAACCCTAAATCAGGGCTCCAGCTTTCTTAACACGGCATGTGCTGTACAACTTTACAAGTTCCCAAATATCCCTTCAGAACTAAGTGATGCTTGGAAAAACCATCAGGAAGTGTTAGTACACAAACAGGAAAACAACATATATTCCTTTATGGAGAACAAAGAAAGGAATGATTAACCCATGACTAACAGAAGTAAGGGCAAAGGGCAACAGTCACAAACTACTACATGTGACGTTCCAATTAACTATATAAAAAATGTAGCATCAGGGTGGATGGCCACAGAGTTTGCTGAATCTCCACCCGTCTCCAAACTCAACTGACAAACAAACCCCACAGTTAAGTTAGCCCTGCTCTGAGAGGGAAGCTGGAATAGGTGGTCGCCAGAAGTCGATTCCAATTTAAATTCTACTGTAATTATAAGCACACCAAATGAAAGAGAACAGAAATTATCACCTTGGAGTCAAAAATAAATAAATAAATAAAAGCAATCAGGAAGTTCAAAATAAAGAAACAGATTTCGAGAAACCACATCCCATTGGGGAGGGCCTTTTTATAAGGGCAGGTAGTGACAGGACGAGGAGAAACAGCTTTAAACTGGCAGAGGGTAGATTTAGAGTAGATATTAGGAAGAGACTGTACTGTGAGGATAGTGAGACACTGGAACAGGTTGCCCAGTGAGGCTGTGAATGTCTGTCTCCCCACCCTGAAAGCACTCAAGGCCAGGCTGGATGGGGCTGTGAGCAACCCGGTCTATGGGAGATGCCCCTGCCTATAGCCGGGGTTGGAGCTAGATGATCTTAAAGGTCGCTTCCAGCACAAACCATTCCATCATTCTGTGATCGACTCTGCAGCCTTAAGCCTGTGCTTCCCCTTCTACTTCCAGCAGCTCGTCAGCACGCACTGTTGTTACGGACACTCTTCTCAATACGGAATTGTTTCTATTTAAAAAGTTTAGAGAGCATCAAGCTTCGGTAATCGCAAACTCCCGGGACGGGAGCAGCCCCACTACGGCAGGATGGGCCGTTCGTATCTCCTTGTGGCGGGGAGTTCGTACATCTCCCAACATAACGACCGCCCTGGCTCCAGCACAGAGCCGGCGGGGACGCACGGGACGCACAGGACGCCTCCACGGCCGCCGCCGCTTCGCCGCCTCGCCGCCTCGCCGCTCGCTCGCAGCGGGGTAACTACGGCCGCGCTCCCTCCCCCGCCATTTACGGCCGGCTCACCACCCCCTACCCGAAGACGTGCTCCGAGCTCCAGATTTTCATGGCCGCCGCCGCCGCTGCCGCCGCCGTCGTTTCCTCGGGCGGGAGGACGCGGCGCGAGCACACCGCCCGCAGCGCGCGCCGGCCGGCAAACGGGAGGGCGGGGCCTCAGTCGTGCCGGGGAGCGTCACGCGATGACGTCACCGCCCGGCCGGGCGCTCCCTCAGGCGGAGCCTCGCGCGGCCCGTCTTCCGCTCTGAGCTCGCGCCGCGGCCGCCGGAAGTGACGCGATGACGCCGGGAGGCGGACGTAGCGCGCGGGGGCGGAGCGGCGGCGTGACGGCGGAACGGCGGCCACGGGAACGGCCGTCGGGGCCATGGCGCAGCGCTACCTGCTGCTGGCGCTGGGCGGCCGGCGGCGGCTGCCCGGGGTGCTGCTGCAGCAGCTGCTGTGCGGGAGAGGCCTGCCGCTGCCGCGGCCCCGCCCGGCACAGGTGAGCGACGGCCCGCGGGCAGGGCGGCTCTGTGTGCGCGCGGGCCCGTCGGTGGCCGCGGAGGGGCGGGCCGCGTTTGCCCGGTGCCGGCCCTCGGAACGGTGCGGGGACGGGGAGCGGGCGTAAATACGGAGCCGGAAGCGGCGGCCGGGCCCCGGCGGGGGAACCTTCAGCAGCGGGCGCGAGGTCAGCCCGGTGAGCTGACACCGCGGTGCGGGTTGGGAACCTCGAGGCGGGCGGTGAGTGCTGAGTGGTGCTGGGCCGCCGTCGGCCCTTCGTACGGCGGCTCGGTTGTAGGGTGGGCGTTACCCTGCTCGGCCCCGACGTCTCGGAGGAACTGACTACGGGTCTGCGTTAGCGCTTGGGAAGAGGTGGTTGTTGCTGTCCTGCGTCAGCGATAGCTTAGGCACAGTGCTGGATCTGACTGGTGAGCTGGGAGAGCTGCTGTGGCTCCTTGTCTGCTGGGCTGTCCGTGCGGGTTGGGATGTCTCTGAGAGGAACGCATGCAGGGGTGTTAGTGACTTGTTCTACCGATTAGTGAGTTTCTAGTTTAAATGGTGGAATTGTGTTTGTGTGGTCATGGTTAGGAGAAGAAAAAGAAAAAGTAAAACAGCATTGCTGCTAGTTTGTCTGAAGACTGCTTCTTATTACTGTCGGTAGAGTATGATGGATTCTGATTGGAAATGAAGAAATAGTATAGAGGCAAAGAGGTGGTCATTCCTCTGTACTCGGCAGTAATGGGGCTATGCCTCAAATGCTGTGTTCAGTTTTGGGCCCCTTGCTGCAAGAAAGACATCAAGGCTCTGGAGCATATCCAGAAAAGGGCAATAAAGCTGTGAGGGGTCAGGCACAGGCCTTTTGAGGAGCAACTGAGGGAGCTGGGATTGTTCAGTCTGGAGAAGAGGAGGCTGAGGGGAGGCCTCATTGCTATCTGCAGCGACCTGAAGGGAGGTTGTGGTGAGATGGGCGTCAGCCTCTTCTCCCAGGTAACTAGCAGTAGGACAAGAGGGAATGGCCTCAAGTTGTTTCAGGGGAGATTCAAGTTAGATATTAGTGAAAAGTTGTTCTCAGGGAGCGATGAGGCTGTGGCACAGGCTGCTCAGGGAGGTGATGGAGTCACTGTCCCTAGAAGTGTTCAGTAACCATGCGGGTGTGGCACTGAGGAAAATGGGTTAGCAGACATGGTGAGGATCGGTTGATGTGGACTAGGAGATCTTAGTGGTTTTTTCCAACCTTAAAGCTGCTATGATTCTATATCTGTGTTATGGGGAGAACTTCATGTTCGTTCCAGCATTCATGTGTTTCTATGGGTAGCAAAACAAGATAAGTAACTTATCTGAAATTAGATTTATTTATTTATTGCCAGCTTGGTTTCTTTTCTTCAACATGCTCCTATGTAGTATCAGTCACAGTTAGATATTGGAGATAACTTTCGACTGCATTTTCTTTAAGAGCCATAAATTAAAACTTGTATATGGATAAAGCTTTAAACTTGTAGCTTTCCTGAATTACTGTGTTTTTGATCCTTTATTTACATAACTTGGTGTGACTTTTCTGTTCTTTGGGTATCCTTGATATAAGGCAAACAAAGATGGATTACAGTCACAATGTTTCTGCAAAGTCAGTAGTTCTGCTTTCTTTTAAATTACACATTTAAGGTTGGAATTGTGGAGAAGGTCCTTCAGAAGGTGCTACAGATCCTGTGTTTGTTATACTCAGGAGCAGTAACACTGTCACCTCATTTCTGAGGTATTTCAGTTGTAAAACTGACTTCTGTATGCTTCAGACTTGCTTGAATTTCTATTTAAAATAGTCTCGATTTTTAGAAAGATTTCACATTTATCTGAAGAAAAAAAAAATTATGACACGTGTGCGTGCTCTTTCTGCATGCTGTGACAGTTCTTTCATCTCTGACTGGGAGAAGCGGGGCAGTTTCTGGTACCTAGCCCAGAACAGTCCCTGTGCTACATAAGCATCCTGTCAAAACGTGTGCTGTTTGCCTTCCCTGTCCTTGGGCAGTGGGTGTGCTTCCAACTGCTGAGGTTGCTGTGGCATTTCCACAGGCAGCCAGCTTGAGGACAGCTCTTGTAGCAGAATCAATTCGATCAGCTTTCATCTTGGTGGTTTACCTTGTCAAAAAGTATTCATTACCATTGCAGTGTGGTTCTACAGACTTCTGCTTTTCTGGAATGAGATGGTGAAAGGAAACTGCATTTGCAGGGAATAGGTTTTGATGAGTCAGTACGTAGCATAAAAGCGTGCTGTCACTCAGTCAGGTGATGTTCTGAACGTGCTGTAAAGGTGGTTCTTTCCTTTTCTCACAAAATCAACTTTAAAACACTTCTGCATAATAAATGTATAGTTGCTTGTCAAGTTCTTACTGATAGATCTTGGGATCTGTCGAGAATGTCCAGCAATAAACCAGTTGTATTCATCAGGTCTGCCCCCAAAGCAGTGTCAGCTACTTCTTCCCTCTTTCTGCATGCCTCCCTCCCTCTCCAATTTGAAATCTGATAAAAATGTGAATTAAGGCTGTAATAAGCCAATGCTGGCCCTGCCACGCCAGGCAGTTGGGTTTGGCTTACTCGGACTTTTATTTAAAACAAGCAGTTACCTTTTATTTCTAATGAGATGGGAGTATCCAGTAACATTCATTCCGGTTAAAACAATTAAAACGTTCCAGTTATTCCAGTTAAAGCAATCAGAGCTTGTGGAATAAATCTTAAATTTTTGTTATTATAGGAGGTCAGCAACATAGAACAGAAGCCAGTGTTTTGGACATGGCTTTCAGTTTCATCTGTTGCTGCATTCACAGCCTGTTGACACTTGAAGCAAAGATAGAGACAGGCCCTACTTTTCTTTTTTTTTCTTTTTTTTTTTCTTTTTTTGCCCATAGAGATTCATCCCTGTTGTCCCAAAGCCTCTTCCAAGAGCACACGTGCTATTGCTCGTGGTGGAGGTGATAACATATTGACCTTGGAAGCTGCTCTCTAAGTAAGCTGTTCTCCAGGCTACTCATGTTGTATGTGCATTGCATGAAAAATATCCTTCTGAATTTCCAGAATCAGACTATTTCAAGGATCTGCAATGGCTGCATCAAACAGCCAAAGAATTCTTCTTAGCACAGTCTATCGCGAAAGCAGGCTAGAAGGACACTTTGGCATTTTTCTTGGTTCCAGCAGGTGGAACTAGATGACTGCTCACAATAGGTGTGGTCTGTTTCTTCAGTTAATAAGCTCTCACGCAGAAGACTTTTGGAGAATCAGAAGTGACGATATGCCAGTGTTCCTAGAGTAATTTGGGTGTGGAATCCAGTGCCCTTCGTGTTTTTCTTTGTGCACAGGTTTTGTTTAAAACTGCTGTATTCCAATTTTAACAATTGTAGGGATTCTAACTTTGAGGTTTAGTTCATAGATGTAGTCCAGGCTTTTCTAGGCTAGATGGATGTTTGCTGTCTTGTTCTGAGTACTGTGAATTTTCAAGTTTTCAGGACAGGGGGGGAGCTTGGATTTTCTTTTACCTGAAATATGTCCTTGAAGAAAGAGAGCTTGAACTGTGTGATGACATTACACTCTACTTCATTTCTAAAAGAACGCTTTAGATATTGTAACCAAATACTTTAAAATGCTTATATTTCCTTCATTGCACTTAAATGGCAAACATCACTAGACAATCTTATTGGCTTAAGCTGCAGTGGTTTAAACATGGATCTGTACCTACACAGGAGTTTGGGTTTACTCTTAAAGCATCGTTCCTCCCCGCATTGGTTTCTTAGCTGGCCATAGATATTGTGTGATGCATTCCTTTTGGTTTCAAGGGGATCTTAACTGCAAGGAAAGGGTTGAAGCTCTTTCACAAAAAGTGCCTCAGCATTGTGTGCATCATTTTCTTGCTGTTTACGTTTATTTTTCATCTTTCAGCCTCATGAAAGTGCTTTCACTGGTGTTACGACTGACAGAAGGACAGTCTTGGCAAGTGTCATTGCTGCTTGCAGAAGGCTCTTCTCACAACCTCCCAAAGGTGACTGCAGTTTTGATCACTGGAGTGAAGCAGGCGGCTGAGGACGATGCTCATGTGCTGCTTAAGTTTACTGTGTACAGGGCAGTAAGCTCTTTTATTAATCAGCCATTAATCCTGAGGTGGAGCAGTGATTTATAGTATTTTCAGCCACAAACAGAGCTGACTGCAGTTTGCTCAACTTCACACTGTGCAGCACTATTTTCTGTTGAGCTAAGCTTGTCTGTCTCTGGTTTAAAGGACAGCTTTAAGCTATTAAGTTTTTGGTACTGAGTTTTTCAGTATCAATAGTATAAGATATATTCATGGGAACCTGATAGAGCTCTTCAGCAAAAGGACAAGAACAAGGCCATATTCTGCAGTGAATATATTGCTTACTAATTTTTTTACGTTGTATACAATCAACTTGTGACTACTGAAATGTAATGTTACAATTGTAAACTAAAAAACAATTATTTGCTTTTTAACTCTTGATAGGATTTGAAAAATATTTTCCCAATGGGAAGAAACCAAATGCAACTAAAGGTTCAGCTGGAGAAACAAAAGGTACAAATAGCCATTTGATTTCACTTCTCTTTTTTAGGATGTGTTCATTACATTATTCCTTACATTAGATTCTAGCTAAACATTGGGTTTGTTTTTGGGTTTGTTGTTTCTTTTTCAGAGAA